TCCACTGATATTCTGGATTTTAGAGTATTTTTTAATGGCTTGAAAACAGACTAAAGAAAACCTGTGAATGTTTAGGGCTCCCCCGACTTAATATGTGAAGTCTAAATCGTTTGTGGTTTGCCTCTATGTTTAACAAGCGTGTATTGTTTGGTGGATTAAATATTTTTCATGAGTTTTGGATCGGAATGGTAGGTTCATATCTAAATTGTATCTTTATTACTGTGTGAAAGTTTTTAACCATATAACAGCACATCATGTAAAAATGGGAACACTTTCTTATTGCAGTCTTATTGTCCCCAGACAGAGAACGATCTGCCATATAAACATAAAGATGATGCTTCTCCATTTTTAATAATTTTATGATTAAAGTTTAATGCTTCTGACGGGGTGAACTACCCAGGAAGACATGCAGCCTTCTGTCTGGCTGCACAAAGTTCCAATGGCTTTAATGGCTGCTCATCCATCAGATCACAGCAACCCCCCACATGGCACCCCTAGAGACTTGATCTTCAAGTCTACAAAGCACATTTAAATTCCCACCTGCACAATGAATGCTTTGAACATCAACTTCTCTGGTTCTAGTTCTTGAGAAACCCAAGAACAAAGATTAAAAAGAAAAAAAAAACTGCATGGTTTGGTTCAACAGTTCTGTCAGACCTGATCCCACAAACACTAGGTGAGGGTCTGCTGAAAAGTCATCCCTTTGGTTGAGATCAGGCAGATCACAGCTCCAGAATTCTGCTTTGGAAATTCATACAATTAAAGATTGTTTGATTGGAGTTTGGAGCCAGTTGATCCCCAAAGCCAAGGTGTCTCAGGTAAAATAAAATAAAAATTCATATGCTTGGGGGATTTTAAGAAGGTTAAAAAAAAACCAAAAGCCCGGAAGCCTGGCCTTTGTGTTGACTCCACAAGTCTCTAAACCCGTCTTAAAGGCTGACACCATGGTTTCCAAAAGATTTTTTTAGGATTCAGTTATTGAATGATGGTAATGAAGAGCAAAGTCTTGGCAAGTGTACCACAAATGTCTGTTGGGTAATCAACCAGATCAAAACTTGGACCCAAACCCTGCAAGCCAAAAAAAAAGGAAAAAAAGGAACCCTTCTACAGTAGAACAAGTCCACTGGATGTCCTCAGTGTGAATCAGGTTTGGGATCAAGAATACCTCAGGCAGAGGACATGGCTGGACTTCATATCCTTCTGCCTCCTCTGCAATCCAAAACCCCTGTGAGTGAAGGGGATAGAAGCTATAATATCCAGTGAATTATCTCATAATTATGAAGTTGTTTTTCATAATTATGACATTACAGCCCAACACGGTTATGAGAATTAAAGTCACAGTCATAAGCAACAGCTCAACATCATCCTTCTGAGGAGGGGCAGTCATTTATACTTCTTGCTCTACTATCCATAGTGTCTGCGGATGCCCCTGCATGAGTCTGATTACAATAAAAAAGCAGCTTACGTGAAGCCTCACTCAGTGTGTTTACATGCACAGCTTAATCAGACTAAGATCAGTTTTTTAGCCAAATCAGACTTCTCTCCTTGTCCACATATACATGCAGCTGAGAAAATCAAATTAATGACGTGAACTTGTCCTCCTCCCCAAAACAAGGGGGCGATATGAGTCTTTTCAGCTGCGCTGTTTCCGACCCCATACAACCGTCAACATTAGGTCCGTGCCAGATGTCAGAAGTGGCTACAACTGCTGCTGGGCATTTTCAAGCAAGAAGATGGAGCATCGTACAGCGTTGTTTTTGTCGTACATGATGTACACGCTACTTTTTCTGCAGATGAGGTGCACGCTACTCCTTCTCTGGTGTCTTTGTTACAGAGGTGTGGCGCACATGCACATGCATTGCCCGATAATACTCTGACATGGTAGAGAAAATCAAGTTCCAATCGCATTATCAAAGTGTCTCAATCAGAGTTCTCCAACTCCAATCTGAGTTCTCAAACTCTGATTATAGTCCAACTAAGGTGTTCACATGCACTTCAGTTGCATGTAAACTCCTCACTCTTATCGGAGTACGGCAATAATTCGGTTTTCTTGAGTGTCATGTAAACGTACTGACTCACAGCCTGACACTCCAAACTTAGACAGCAGAGGACTTTATATACAACTTAACTTGATTGACTTCCAGACATGATTTGGTACATGTCTCAGCCCCCAGTTTTTTTAACTAGGCTGTAAGCATGTCATCAAAATGGGGATATAAAACTCCTGTGAGGATCTCTCAGTTTGTCGACTGTGGCTCCCTGTGTCAGTTTTTGCTTGTCTTGTGCTCTCCTTGCTTTGGTGGTATCTTCTGATGAAAAAAACTTGGTAAAATGTTTTCTTAATTTTGAGTATTTTGGTAGAAATTGTGATAAGGTTGTCTCTACAGCTGCTTGGCTGACACCTCCCCTGCACGAGTTTTCGGCATTGACATAACAACACGAAAGTAGTCAGTAGTGTTGCTGATGGGTTTGTTTGCTTTTTCATGTCACGAAAAGACACTTTTACGAATTTGAGTCCATTTCAAAAACATCAAAAATCTCCTTACAGAAGCTTTAATCACAGGACCTTCCCTTTTTGCTAAAAGACACTCCAGGAGCTGCAGTTTGATACCTCTACAACGGCCTCATTTACAAAACCACAGGATGTTACTAGCATTGAAGGCATATTCCCCTTGCATTTTCATTTCATATTTATTTGTATTTATTGTCACTGAGATGACCTGTGCTTTATTTTATTCATAATTTAGTTTTTTTTACTTGTTTTTATTCTTTTATCATTTTTAGGACCCCCAGTGTTTCCTCTGAGGAAGCCCTCGGCACCAGGAGCAGTGGTCGGCTGTGGTTGCAGGGTCCGGTCACAGGGTTCCTGGTGGAGGTTGGTGTCTGCCACGTCTCTCCTCTGGCCCTGTGTTAGTGTCATGTGGCTGCGGGCGGCTCTCTGCTCCTGGTGCTGATGGCTCCTCTGATGGCTCCTCTAATGGCGCTTTCTAAAATGGTTCATCTGTACTCAGCCCCATGTTCACTATCTTAGCGTGCATACTAAGGCTGCATTAGTGTGTGTGTGTGTGTGTGTGGCTTTAGGTTAGACTGTGTATGTGACTGTTAACTGTGGGTTGTACTGTTGTGTGTGGAAGGTGCATTTAGGATTGCTTGAGGTTTTTTAACAGACTGTAGGCACTTTGTGTTACATATTTTGTATGAAAAACGCTTTATAAAGAAAGTTTGATTAGATTTGCTAGCAGTCTTTTGCTAGCCTAGTAAACATGCTCAGCTAACAACAGTTAGCAAACAATACTGTTAACTAGCTTTTGGTTAAAAATAATTGCTGGCTGTTAAGATAAGGCTTTTGGTGGCTAGGTCTTTTTAAAGCTCCATGTGGACACATCACTCTTGCTGAACTTGTCCTTGCCACATGAACTATTGTGAATGTTTTATGGGGAAAATTTAAAAGTGGGCTGTTTCCTTAGCTGCATGGCTCACACCTGCCCTCTCGCACTGGTTTCAGGCATTAAATAATACAAAATTGTGAATCTTGTCACTGATGGTTTTATTTGCTTTTTTATGATTCCACATATCTGTTTTATAAATGCCAAAAAACTCCTCACAGGAGCTTTAAAATCACTTTACTTGATATGCTGTTACCCAATGTTTGTTTCTCTGTATTTTTCAGCTGCTGAGCAGTTTAAACACGATGTAATGATGGAAATTCATCAGCTTCCTGAAATTCAAATGGCTCATAAACCTCAAACTCAGCTTTCCATCATTATACTTGTATATTTAAGATTCCTCTAAGCATGATGTCGGAGAAAATGGCCATTGTATGAATAGGCTGAATGATGTCATTCACCAAGCCAAGACAGGAGAAGATAACAGACAAACCTGCAGCCATAAATTTCATGTGACAGCATTAAATTGATGTGCCTATATGGATGAAAGTGAAATCCTGCTCCTCACTTAGTGAGATTTGTCAAAAAATAAATATTTAGGCTGATGTTTTCTTATTGACCATAATGACTGAAGGGCAATTTAGGCCTAATTTTATTTACCGCTTCAGTTCATCACATGGACCTGTGGACATTTAATAAAAGAGACAGTGAAAAACTTATGAGCTCAGACAGGCGTTAATAGCTCAATCGTGAGATAGAGGCAGATAGATGGAGATGGAGAACGAGGGAGAGAGAGAAGGGGGGAGAAGAGGAGAGAGGGAATGATAAAGTGAAGCTAAGCTGGGCTCCGAGGGCCGGCCAGTGATTAAGGGATGGGAAGGATGAACAGCAGCCACTGAGGGACTAGTGTCTATCTGTGTGAGTCCATGTGAAAGCAGGGCTGAGGAAAAAAGCTCAGAAACAAGAACCCAGTGTCACAGTAACTTAGCAACCGTCTCTGTCTCCCAGGTGACAGGGACTGACATCACTTCCTGTTGGTTGGTGAGTATGTGTATGTGTGTGTACACAGTGTCCAAGCGTAAAAAACTGCACAGATTGATATGTGTTATGGACATGTGTGTGAGGTTAAGCAGAATTTACATGTGTCTCTCTTCCTGCTTCTCCTGCTCAGCTCTGCAGCCTTGGCACCCATGTCATGACATGACAGAAGAGTGTGTGTTGATGGGTTCAAGTTGAATGCATGGTGCCTGCATGCAGCAGCTTGTTCAGAGAGCTCACTGTAGACATATATGAGGAGTGTGATCTGTGTGCGCATGCGGTCAGTCTGTTTGTAAGTTATGCCAAAGGAAGCATGGCCAACTGATGCCATCTGGTAGGACTACTTGGCACAAGACGACTCTCTGTGGTTCCACGACATATTGGAGTAGTTAAAATTAACACTGTGACACTATTTGGCAGAAAAAGACACTGAACTATCTAATACAGTGTCTATTTCAGGCTCTCTCACCTTACGGGTCCAATCTGCATTGACACAGCAGGAGGTAGGACTGTAGAGACGTTGCCTGGGCATCACAAGGACAACATCATCGCACATCAAGAGCAGAAACCTCCTCATTCTGATAGATCTTTCTTTTTTCTTTTATTTCATTCCCATAAAACAACTTTAGCGTGATTTAAAAAAGAAATCAAACAGAGAAAATGTAAAATCCTAATGGAAAAAAAAAAAAAAAACTATCTCAGATGTCCATGATACAATATATAGAAAAGTGGTGTTTGCAGAGGCTCCACATAAGTGTCCATTTCCACTGGCTTGGCTTCTTCACTGCGGCGGATTAGCGTGCTGTCGGTTCGTTCATTTACATGAAAAACTAATGCTCGCATTGTCTGCCCCTAATTAACTTCAGCTGCTCAGTCCCGTGAAAAAAAGGGGAAAAAAAACTACTCATGATTTGTTCCTTAATTATGTAGAACATTTGTAGCTGTAAAGCAACAGAGCGGATACATGTGTCTAAACTGGCAAAAAACAAAAACAGGTTTGCCAAGACTTGGCTAAAAACATAAAAATAAAGTCTGAGTCTGGCATGCTAACTCAGATAAGGTCCATGAGGATTTCATCCTCCATGACACTGGAGACTTGAGGCATCCCGGGCTGAGGGACAGCACCCCTCTGACCTCCTGACATCAGGATCTGACCTGCAGACGGGGTGGGATGTTTGGGTAGGGGGGTTGGGGGGGGGGATAGATGAGAGGGCTCTCAGATTATTCAATATTTTTCACAGTTTTGTAAAAGTCAGACTTGAAAGCAGGAGAGTAAGATCAAATCAACTGAAGCACTGTCATTCTCACTACTGTGCATCTTTCTGTACTGATATACTGCTACCTTTAGGCCTGTCACGATAACAAATTTTGCTGGACGATAATTGTGCTACAAATTATTGCCGATAAACGATATTATTGACACCGTTTTTTAAATTATAGATAATGATATTAAATGGCATAATAATGCGAGTACACCGTGTCAAAAGTGATAAACTTTAATTTCACCCACGACGAAGACGTAACGTTGACGAGCTAAACATAAGTCGGAGATGACGAAAATGTAACGAGACGAAAGTGCGTTTACGTTGATGGGACGAGACGAAAATCACGAACAGAGTTGCAGAACTCAGTCAGTTAAACGCTAAACATATAGGAGCAGCTTCAGTCCGCTCTGACAGCTCTCATCAGCCTGCTGTGCTCCTCCAACACACAGACACACACGTGGATTTTTGTGGTTGACGAAAACAAAATTGGTTTAAAGCCGAAATATTCCCACACTTGGGCTGTTGCGTTCGGTTTAGACACCAAAGCTGTCGTGTTCATTCTGTTTGCTTGCTTTTCACTCACGACGCTCACTTGCAGCACTGTATCCAAAAGTCTGTGTCTGTGTGCCTGTGCGCGCGCCAGCCCCCTCGTGACAAAGACACTGAATGACTGACAGGAGGGTTCACTAACTCCGTTCATTCCGCTATAGAGCCAACGCCCCCAGGTGCCGAGAAAAATGCGCAGAGTGAGACCTCTTCTCTCATCCAGCGTGTTTGGTAGCGAGAGAGGAGGAAAACAAACGCACGTCAATTATCGAGGCTGGCAAAATGACCGACCTCGTTTTTATTTACAGAGCGATAAGGCGATTTATTGATTATCGCGACAGGCCTAGCTACCTTACTTTTTTTCCTCATCAAACATGAGTTAGTGCTAAGTGCTAATTGTTGTCATATTCTGTACCAAAATAGGATAACATTTTTAATATATCAGTGCATGCTTTTTTTCAAAATAATATCATGCTTTTGAATGTTTTTCCTTTCCCTTAGCACCTGCTTATGAGGTCAACATGAAAAAATCAACAGCAGTTCAAATCAAAGTGTATCAGCATCCAATAAACCTCATATCTCAACACATCCCTGAGCTCTTAAGTCAGAAAAACAAACGTAAATTACGCCACGGCAGAACAAACAGATGCGGAAAAACAGATTTAAAGTATGAACTTAAATCTCTTTTCCATCTTTTTCATTTTGACATTCTGTTAATGTGTTACTTGTGTGTTCTTACAAAAAATATCTCACCCCGTTTTCCATTATAAGTCATTAAAGGGATATTAAAATTAATTTAAGTACAAGAATAAGACGAACTTTATTGATCCCCGAAGGCAAATTCAATTGTCTGTTGTCTCACTTGACATGTCTCTAAAAGTTATCTACTATTTACTCAAGAGTTATAAAGTCTGATGGTTGTTGGTACAAAAGATCTTCTGAATCTTTCTGTCCTGCAGCGAAGAGAGAGGAGCCGTCCACCACCATTGGCCCTTTGGTCTATTAAGGTGTTATATGGTGGGTGATCCATGTTATTTAGAATAGTCTCAACCTTCCTCAGTGTAGATCTCTCCACTACATCCTCCACTGAGTCCAGCTTGAGTCCTACCACAGAGCCAGCCTTTTTCATCAGTTTGGTCAGACGTCTTGCATCTGTGTGTTTGATACTTCCTCCCCAGCAGACTGCAGCGTAGAAGAGAACACTTGCCACCACAGACTGATAAAACATCTGCAGCATCTTACTACAGCTGTCTATTGATCTGAGTCTTCTCAGGCAAAAGAGGCGGCTCTGCCCCTTTCTGTAGATGAAGTCTATATTCTCAGACCAGTCCAACTTATCATCCAGATGTTCACCTATTATATATTATGTCACCACTTTGATGTCCACTCCACAGGTGTTCACTGGCTGAAGAGGAGGTTTGGATCTACGGAAGTCTATGACCATCTCCTTTGTCTTTGAGGTGTTGAGGAGGAGGCAGTTTTTGTGACTCCAGTCACTGAAGGCTCCTATTAGATCTCTGTATTCAGCTTCTTGTCCATTTCTGATATATGCCACAGTAGCGATGTCATCTGAGTATTTCTGGATGTGGCAGGACTCAGTACTGTATTTGAAGTCTGACATATACAGTGTGAACAGGAATGGTGCCAGCACTGTCCCTTGTGGAGCCCCTGTACTGCTCATTAATGTCCCAGAAACAAAGTTCCCTAGCCTGACAAACTGTGGCCTTCCTGTCAGGTTATCTGTGATCCAGGAAACACAGTAAGGATCCACTCCCATCTCTGTGAGCTTGTCTTTAACTATGGTGGGTTGGATGGTGTTGAATGCATTTGAAAAGTCAAAGAACATGATTCTCACATAAACCCCAGGTTCCTCCAGTTGAGACAGGGCACGGTGAAGCATGTAGAGGACAGCATCATCCACTCCAATGTGTTCTTTGTATGCAAACTGCAGGGAGTCCAGTTTGTCTTTGACCTAGAATCAGCCGTAGAATCAGCCGCTCCGTGTGAAGTGAGGGCCACTGGTCTGTAGTCATTGAGTTAAGCAGGCCATTTTGTTTTTGGTACTGACACAATGCAGGATGTTTTCCACAGAGCAGGTACCCACCCCAGTTGTAGATGTAGACGGTTGATGATCCTGTGGAGAGGTTGACACAGTTCTGAAGCACAGTCTCTAAGTAGCCTTGGACACACACCATCTGGACCAGCTGCCTTCCCAGGACAAAGTCTTCCAAGCTCCATCCTCACCCCTGTTTCAGTGACAGACAAGGACTGGTGTTCTAGGAGGGAGGCAGTTGAAGTGGTTGAGACATTTGAACCAGATGAAGGCGGAACGGGAGAAGTTGTAGTGGAGATTTGTTGCGGAGAGTAAGGTGGAGTAGCAGTGGAAGTGGGTGTGACAGCAGTGTCAAATCTGTTGAAGAACAGGTTGAGTTCATCAGCTCTTTCTAGATCACCCACCACTGGCTGTCTTTTCTTTTAATTGCTGTGTCCAGAGATGGTACTGATTCCTCTCCACACTTCACGGATGTTGCTGTGTTGTAAATTCTTCTCTATCTTCTTTTTGTATTCCAGCTTTGCCTTCCTCAGTCTCCTCTTCAACTCTTGTTGCACTTGTTTGAGTCATTCTTTGTCACCATCTTTAAAAGCTTTCTTTTTCTGGTTGAGGATTGCTTCTATGTCACTTGTGATCCAGGGTTTGCTGTTGGGGAAACAGCGAACAGTCTTTGTCGGTATAACTGTGTCTCTACAGAAGTTGACATAATCAGTAAAGCAGTCAACCTGTTTGTCAATGTTCATACTATTCACATCTGTTTCCAGCAGCACATTCCAGTCTGTTGATTTAAAACAGTCCCTTAGAGCTTCACTGGCTTGAGGTGTCCATCTTCTGATTTTGACTTTGGCCAGGTTTGCAGATAGACCAAGTTATTATCTGACTTGCCCAGTGGTGGTAAGGCAGTGGCTCTGTAGGCTTCTTTGACGCTGGCATACAGCAGATCCAGGGTTTTATTTTCTCTGGTAGGACAGTTCACAAACTGTGTGAATCCAGTCAGGTGAGAGGAGAGGGTGACATGGTTGAAGTCTCCTGATATTATTATTAGTGCCTCCGGATGTTGAGTCTATAGCCTGGCTGCACTATTATGCAAAACATCGCACAGAATTTCTTCAGTTGATTTGGGTGGAATGTAAACAACTATTGTTATGGTATGACTAAATTCTCTAGGAGCATAATGTGGCCGAAGAGCAACTGCCAACAGTTCAACATCTGGACAACACAACTTCTCCTTGACAGTTACACTACAGGCCAAAAGTTTGGAAGCAAGATCAGATTTGTACAAAAAAACATCATAGTTTCATATATATAATTTGCAACACAATAAACATGACTATTGTGTAAAGAGTAACTTATCAGAAGACATTTTGATTATAATTATTAGGTATTTGAGTTATTGTTGTTTAGACTTTGTTTTCTTTAAAGTAACCTCCTCTGGCTTTAACAACAGCTTGACACATTTGTTCCACAAGTTTTTTAAGGTATGTTCCAGGGATTGCATTCCAAGCTTTCTTAAGTTCATTAAAAAGAGACTGCAGATTCATGGGACGCATTTTTCTGTCGGATTGATCCAATTTATTCCGCACAATCTCTATTGAGAAAGGTCTGGAGACTGAGGGGGCCAAACCATCTTTTGAAGAACACCTTCCTCTTCTTTTTTGTCTAGGTAACCCTGACAGAGCTTGGCAGAGTGTTTAGGGTCATTGTCTTGCTGCAAAACACACTTATGAGCCACAAGTCTGAGTCCAGATGGAACAGCATGGTGCTGGAGTTTTAACTTTAATCACCTTAAATTAATTTAACATAGTCCATCATTAGTTACTTCAGTATCCTGTACATTGAAGTCATTTTCTCCCATCAAATTGCTAACCAGATCTTTCTGTATGTCTCTGAGCCCCAGTCTCCTAGGTTGCTCTGGACTGATGGCTGCTGCAGACCTGCCTGACTCCAGCCGCATCGTCTATGATTGTCCGCCTCAGGCCCTGAGCTCCCTCTTCTCTTGGATTCCTCTGGACTGTTGCTGTGGACATGAACATCAGCCTCACTGACATTAATAACATAAAGCTAGAGTTAACTACTATTAGGCCTGCTGACTGTGATCACATTAAATTAATTTAACATAGTCCATAATTACTCATATCCTAACCCTGTAAACTGAATTTGTTTTGTTTCACCATTATATGAGCTGTTGTTGTTGTTGCTGTTGTTCCTGCTGTCCCCTGTCTCTCTCTCACCCTCGTTCTCTACTCTCTCTCCCTCCCCCTGCCTCTCCTTAGTCATTCTCTCTCTCCTTCCCCTTATCTTGTTCTCTCTTTCTCTCCCCCTACCCTCTCCCCTCTTCTCTCTCTCTCTCTCCCCCTCTCTCCCCTCTTCTCTCTACATTCCTCCCCAACACAGCAGCGACATGGTGGCTGTCTGGCATGAATTGGGTCCTGCTCAAGGTTTCTGCCTGTTAAAACGAGGTTTTTTCTTGCCACTGCTACCCATGTTAGATGATATGGGCCAAAACCTATCTTAGGTTGGTTCTTGATCATTAAACAATGAGCGTGGTCTAGACCTGCTCTTGTTCTTTGAAAAGTTTCTTGGGATGACGACTATTGTGAATTGGCACTATATAAATACATTTGGCATTTTTCTGATGCTACAGGACATGTGAGAAAAATAAGTGCAAAATTACATTTCTGAGTATTTCTGCATTCAAATCACTGTGAATCTCTGGACGGTTCAGACACAGTGAGATTTGCTATGTCACAAAACCAAGCTCTGCCCCTGGAGCCCCGCTGTGCGGGCTAGACTTCCAGAAGTAGAGAGGACAATCGTGGAACAAGCATGTGCGTTAGCAGATTGTGATGCTTGTAAGAAAGCTAATTATGATATTAACTTTCATCATGTCCCTAAAGACATTAGTGTCTGAGAGCTGAATAGCTCCTATGTTACCTGCTTCTTCTACTACACCGGCAATGTCAGGCTGCAAGCAAGCGTGAAGAGGAGTGTGCAGAGCAGTGCTGTCTCCGCCCACAACTCTGAGGTGAATTACTAATGAGCCTCTGAAGCTCTGCAGAAGAAAAGCCCTTAAAATGACACAGGTAATGTGATTTCGGCTAAAAACTTCATAATCACGACCACTGAGAACACTTTAGTACTTTAAGGAGAAGAAGAAAAAAAACAATTAGAATGGGACTTTAATGTTTTCTTCTACAGCACAAAGTTATTGTTTGTTGATTTATTGGCATTAAGCATGTGTAATTTCTGTTTTTTTTTTTTTTAAAGGTTTTCACCTCTCTCTAATGTTAACGTAACCCAACCAATAGAAGTGCATTCCATTGGATATCCTTGAAAACAATAAACTGAACCTTTCAAAATAAAAGACAGAAAAAGTGTTTTTATAGGTAGCATACTTGGTCCTTTTCAAATGAGGAAACTTTATTACAAGAGAACTTGACAGTCTGTCAGAGTGAGAGGAAAGGAAACTTCTCTTGAAGCAGAGGATTTTGTCATATTGGGGCTCAACATTAACAAATGAATTATAGAAGTTCCCCTAACTTTTCTATTAACTCATATAAAAAATGAACACTGAGATTAAATAGGTAAATAAGTAAGTCTCACAAGATAATGGCTGTCGATAAATGAGGTAGCATGTGGAGTAAAAGAAAGAAATTTAAAATGTACAAACAATAAAAAGGAGGAATCATCTTTAAAGGGGGAGAATCATGCCTTTCCACATTTACAACAAAAAATGCAGCGTTACAAAGTTTTGTGTCCAAACTACATGTATGCAGCTTTCAAATTACAGGGTAGATATATGCTGACAACGTCCTAGAAAATAAAAATAAATAGCAGTTTATTTTTTAAATAAAATAAACTGCTCCGAATGGGACCTCGGGGGTCTCAAGAGGAGTGGGGTAACTGCTCCGCTGCTCTATTGATTGACCACAATAGAAGGGGCGGAGCCAAAACATCAAGCCTAGCCCTTGGCCGGCTTCTCGAAAGCCTCCAGAGAGGTGGCCAATCAGAGGAAAGTGGGCTTATAGTTTGGGGCCTTAAAGAGACAGCACCTTAACCAAAGCACTTAAAACAGAAACTGAAATAACGATATTTTAATAGACCACTGTGAGAAATTTGAGGCTTTTTTCTAAAACTAAAAATCACAAAAAGATATTTAAGAGGAGTCAGAGAGGAAGTACAGTCTAAAAAATAGATACTACCCCCTCTTAAAAAGTGCTGCAGGCTTCAGTATGTGGTCATTGAAAGAGAAGCGTGAACTAGGTCTGTTTTTTTAACTCCTTTTTACATTCACTCATGAAGTCCTGATCTCAAAGCTGTGCTCAACAAAAACACACTTTTTGTCTCTTTTTACTTTTTCTGGCGATATAATTTTTTAAAAATCTTTCTAGATTTTAAAGCTTTGTACCTTGTGTATTTGTGGAGTATTATGACCTACATTTAAGAGCTGCATGTCTTCTTAAGTCAAATGCTTTCTGATCTCCTTCCTCCTCTGTGGGGGGTGCTTACTGACCTGCCAATGGCTGTCTCCACTGGCCCTGCATTTGAGCCCCCCCTCCTGGCGCCTGATGGACCAACTGCTGCCCCAGACCCTGGTGAGGCATCATACCCTGCATGTGAGACACCGGGCCCGGCTGCTATGAGAGACATCAGGACAGAGGAGACACATTAGATCCAGATGAAGGAGCAGTCTCTGTGGGACATTTGGTTACAGGAGGATTTGTTCTTACTGGCTGCTGCTGGCTGAGGAGAAGACTGCGGAGCTGGGGATTGGCTCCTGGGTTTGAGAGGCGGAGTATGGGACCCTGGGGCTGGGCTTGTCCGCTTTGTGCAACCTGGTTGGGTGGAGCGCCGCCGACGGGTGGCTGTTGGTTGGCTGGTCCCGTTGCTCTCATTGTCATCTGAAGGGCAGTTTTGAATATCTCACACTTCTGTCATATCACCTCTTCAGCATTATCAAAAATGATTGAGGGTTCTGGCATCATGGCCAACAAGTGGTTACTTCAACTCAGGGCATTTGAAGAAAACAACTAAGCTATTAATTTTCACGCTGATAAAAGAATGTGTTGGTTTTGCACATACAGAAGTGTTTCACCTTCAGGCTTGTATTAGTGGAGCTGTTTTTAAAAGAGGTAAAACTGACATAAAAAATGCAGCTTTAAGGTTTAAAGCAGGAAGAAGACTCTCACCTCATGCTCAGTGCAGACAGCCCCTCCTCAGTAAAGTATACAAACTTATGCATGCATGTTAATCATGAAATATGCTTTCTCTGTGAACGGCATGCTACAGGAGGAAGGGAACTGGTAAAGCTAACATGCTAATAGGAAGTTTGCTGCCCACTCGCCTGACTCTGAGCAGTGAGAATGAGGTGACTTTTTTTGCACAAATTGAAATAAGTGAAACAGAAGAAATGGAGTCATTCTCTCACTACATCGGATACATGATGACTGTATTAAAATGAAGTACCTGAGGACATCCCAAACATGTCTGCTTGCATGTTAAAAAGCAATTGAATTCTCACCATGTTGTTCTGCCTCTGCTGCTCCTCCATCATAGACACCTGACTAACAGGGGGCATGCCCACCACCACAGACTGGACACAGGACAGATCAGAGAGGAGGGGAAGGAGGAGGAGGGGAAATGGTGGTGGAAGTGTAAAAAAAAAAAAAAAAGAAGGAGGACAGTGGAGGAAAGGGTTAGCAGTCATGCATGCAGAGATTAGCGGGCACCAGGGCAGTAAATGTGTCAACACCAGGCAGTGTGTGAGAGAGGGAATCACAGGCAGACCCGCCAGCACAGAATAAGCTCAGTTACCTGCTGCTGGACATTGCCATGGGAGACAGGGATGGGACCAGGGGCCCGGTTGAGGAAGTTCTGGTTAGGGGCAACCTGGCCAGGCTGCATTGGACCCCCTGCTCCACCTAATTGCTGCACAATGAAACAAAATCTATGAGTGTATGCAGACAACATTACCTTTAAAATAAATGAGACATTGAAGATGCTCACCAAGTATCTACCGCTTTTATAGGTATGGTGACTGACTGACATCGGTCTATGTTTACACACAAATATAGAGGAGATTGAAACATACACTTTAAATTAAATTCAAAGTTAGTGTTAATATAAAAAGCCAGACAGTATCATGTTTTTGAAAGTAAGAAGAAGTTGTACAAGAGGTCTACTGAGCAGTTTGGCAGCCCAGACACCAAATGAAGAAACATTACAACAAGGCAGCCCAGGGTTTTTGCTAGTCCCCTAAATGGGTAAATAATGGAAACTCAGATTTCTTTTCTCTTACCAGGCTTGGTTTAATACTTCATTCTGAGTGGCCAAAACCCTGAACAACCTCAATTAATTCTCTACAGCAAATGCTTGGAGCAACCTGACCACTCATGCGTATTCAAATTCACCTCTGCCTGTTGACACTGTGAGAAAAACCTTTGTTTTGGTTAGCACTCTAAATCGGTTAAACATTGATGCAAAAAAAATATTTGATTCCAGCTCAGGCCGGTCCTGACGGACCTCAAAGTTTGAATCCTGAGGTGTGGTGGTGATTGCAACAAAAGTTGGTTTTGAAAGTCAGGTTTAATTATTGAACTTTAATTGCTTTTTTAGTGCATTTATCTATATCTAACTACTAATATTTGTTTTTTGATAATCTTTTTTTAACTTTATTTTGACATTGTTCTTTACTTTTCTTAATTACACATATTTTTTAAGCTGTCAATATGCATTTGTATCTACCTCTTCCAGTTCTTGATATATAAATGCCTTGTTTTCTGTCATTTTTGGCTTTTTTCTTTTCAGTTGCTGCTGAGCACTTTGAATTGTATTTGATTTGTATAAAAAGCTACTGTATATAAATAAAGCTTGATTGATTTATTGACAAGATTATTTCTTACTCATTGTCCCAGAGAGCTCTGAGAGTCTCACTTTAAGAGGCAGATACCCTTTGAAGCTAAAAAAAAAAAAAAAAAAAAAACAGCACATCTGCTGTTTTCAAGAACAAAATCCTGCCCACTGTTCAAATCCAAACCCTTCAGGACACTCAATATTTCATGGCATTTGCAGCTTTTTCATTTTCAGGTTCCTGGCAAGAAGAAAAGACTTACTCTGAACACCTGATAAATAAGTTTGAGATCCAAACAGATCTCCATAGAAGGTCAGAAATAAAAAGTCCATGATAGCACATCTGTAACGATCACTGGAGGCTTCATTTTCATCAGATCTCTCAACGTCAAAGACACACAAGCTTCTTAATGCAAGTTCAACATAATTACAAGAAAATGTAGATTTGTCCGTCCTTGTTTGGTGCAAAACGGAGCTGAAACTTTTATGAGGCTTCGGCTGTCTGAGCTGGAAATATAAAACATGAATCTTCCTCAGCCAATCACTGTTCAGGGATTCTTCCTCTGCTGCAAGCATTGGCACATGCCTGTTTAATAGCAGACCTGAATATTGCAACCTCCTTTAAAATTCAGACCACTTTCAAAAGCTACAACTCTGTGATCACACCTTCAGTCCAGACAGATGAATAAATCACACAAAGCCTGTCATTTTGGCTCTTTTTGCCTTTTCAAAATAAATTCATTATCCATATCCTCAGTCGACATATTCTCCCCATGTAATGGATGTTTACTGTGTTAACAACTTGAGAGCGTTGGGCTGAAAGCAAACACTCTCTCTTTGCTTGTGAGCGTGCCGACAAAAAAGCAAAAACAAACACGGACATGATGACACTTGAAGCACCACCTGCTGCTATGTTTGCTATTTTAGATTTCACGCTTTAGAACAAACTCAAGCTTGATGACTAAAGCTGTTAGCAAAGTGTGGCGTTAAAAAACTCACATACAGTATCCAGCCGCTGTTTTGACAAATGCAGAGTTTAAAAAGAAAGGGAGCGACCTGTTGGAAAGACACCTGTGTGCTTAACTCCAGACTTATTTTACATCCTACAGCTACAAATCTAACTCTTTTCTTCAGTCCAGACAGTCCTGTGTTTCAAAAGGAATCAGACAGGGGGGAAACTGCATCATGGGACAGGTGACTGCTCAAAACTGTGACATCTGAAGGAGCAGAAATTAGCCGTCTTCTGCAGGTGCTGTGGTGGCTTCTTTTTCTACACTGAGGGAGAGAAAAGGAGGAATAAAGGGAGTTTTTTTTCCTTCTGCTAAGCACAAATTATTAACTACAGCATGGTGGAAACACACCTCCACCCATCCATCTTACCGAATCTAAAGGAAAAAAAAAAAAAAAAAAAAAACACACCCTGGGATTCTGCTTGTGCCCAGTGAGTTTTTCTGACCAACAACAACAAAAGTGAAACTTCAAGTCTTCTGAGGGCGAAAACAAAGTGCCTGGCTCTTCCTCTCTCTTCTCCTGTCTATGATTGATCTCCTGACTTTGACTCAGGAACCTGTAAAACCCCAGATCAAGATCGAGATCTAAAACCTCTTTTTTTTGAAGGGAAAAAAAGTCTTGTAAAATAACGGGCACAACAGGGAAACCATAGCTACTGGTCTGAATTGAAATTTTAATTACGTCAAGATTGCTGTAGCGCTTCCCTATTAGCAATGCAGCACTAAATATGTGATGATACACAAGAGGCGAAAAAAAAAGTCTTCATTACAATTTCATGTCATCTGCCTTCTCTAAATGCCCTGATGCTCGTACACACACAGCTCAGAGTCGCATATAGCACTGGTGCTCTTCTGTGAAGACATGAAATTAGCAGAGTGAGCAAACAAGCGCTATCACGGCTGATGAGAGCAGACTGCGAGCAGAAATGTAATCCAAGTCATGTAAACCTGACAGCAGGCTTCAATTTTAAATGGAGACACAGTTCTGTCTCTCTGACTGGATGCAGCATTGTTTCAAAGCTGTGCAGCATTCCTCCTCCTCCTCCTCCTCCAGGCTGCAGGAGCTCCAGTGGAGCCCTATGATGGGAAAGACGGCAAATCCAGAGGACACATTTGAAATCCGCCTGTCTCCAGGGATGAGGACAAGCAGAGAGGGAAAGTGAAATTTGTATGTCATGTGAGCAAGGCAGCGTTTGTCGCCCGTGATGAACTCAGCCCTGAGAGCTGGTCCACCTTCACAGAAGAGGCGGGAAGCCTCTGGATTTTTTAACCCTGTCCTTCAAGGTTGCCCCTGATTTTGTCGTCATCACATCACTTAGCCTACAGCACGTCATGTAATGTTAACATCGGGGCCACTAGGACTGAAATATTAAATAAGGGACTACCGGGGGGTGGTTGAGGGGTCATTTACTGAAGCGTAATCTTACAACTTCTCTTTTTTTTCCAACCAAAGTGAACATGACAGAAGTGTGTGAAAGTTGAATATCCTGTGTTAGTGGAGACAAGAACTGATGGGGTGAAGTTACACAGCAGGAGATTCATCCAACAAGGGAAGATTAATAGAGCCAATGCTGCAACTCGTACTTTTATCAGTGATTGAAGACTTCTTATTTTATTTAAACTAAACATGTTTTACATAAAGAAATGGCTAAAAAAAAACACGTGACTGCTCCAGTGGGCTCTGAATCACTCATTAAAAAAAATACCAGAATAAAACATTTGAAAATGGCTTAAAACTGGATCTCCAGACAATTTCTTTAAAATGAGTATCTGCATTATCCTACAAACTACACAACGTAGCTAATAACTCAACATGACAAACTCTGCAGCACTGTCAAACCCAAATTCTGTGAAAAAACAAAAAGTTAAGCTGTGGTTTACTTCATCAAAACACAGAGATTGGTGCTGTTTCTGATTAGCGCTGTCTTATGTGGTTGTGAGCAGTTTCTGGTCAAGTGACCCATGTACACTACTCATACCAATTTTCAACTAAAGTGGCAGCCATCTTGAAAAATGGCTGCCATCTGTAATTTTCAAGTGTCTAACATTATTTTTCAAGAGTGTCCCTCAGAGAGTATTTGTGCCAAATTTTATGCTTGCATCATCATTTGAACCACTAAAATAATGAGCATTTGATAGAAATGGTGGCCATTTTTCCAAGATGGCTTTTTTCACTTGTCCGCTGCACTATGTCAATTCCTGATTCTGCCCTAAAGTCACTGAGGTCATCGACAAAAATTTCTCTCTACAGTGCCTCACTCCTACCTCCAGGCTTCAGTTTGATGATCCATAGTTGGTGACAATGTCCTTAACTGATATCTCACACACCTCTACAGCCTCTTACAAATGTTGAAAAAGCTCTGCTCTATCATGCCTGTGGGTTATCATATATTGCAAGTATGGATGTATTACTGCAGTTTACTGTTGTATTTAATCCATACACCTGTGAAGAAACTTTGTTGTCATCCTGTTCTTTATTAAGATGTTATAAAAGGCAGTACTCCATCCAGGTAGAGTGCCCTAAACTTGCTACCTGTTCTCTTTTGAGCCAAACCACTCCATCTAAAAGAAAAGGCAGTTCATTGAGATCCTGCAGTGTTGGCCTCTCTAATAGCCTCAAATGATTGAAACATATTCATTCATGGTTATTGGAGGTCCAGTCTAGTAAACATTTAAGTTATGACTTTTGTGGTCAGCAAAAAAAGCTAAAAGTTGAAGAGTTCACACAAAAATTCTTCTCAGTCTGGACAAATGACCCCATCTAAAGATCTTGAGACAAGCGGTAACATGAACTGACACAACACACCTTATCAGGGAATTTGAACTTTGCTGCTTTGGTTGAGTCTTCTCCTTCTCATTTCTTGTATTACACAGCGCTTGTTTTCTGAAATCAGCTCTTTTAGATGACTATTGGTACACATGCTTGAAATTATAAGGCATGAGGGCAGTGAGACGAGGATAAGGCTTTTAGATCAGTCTGGCTCTACTCAGACTGGCAAACAACTGCACCAAAGTCCCTTTGCTGTAGCGCTCACTGATGGGAAAAAGAACTGAGATGTCACTAGGAAACTGCCAGCATTAGTGACAGAGGCGGGCTCCAGCTCCTGTGGTTAAGTTGACCACATTTATCTTCTCTGAAGCAGTGGGCTTTTCTTAAACCACCCTTTTCATTTGACGGAAGGACATAATCTTGTTAATGATTTCTGTGGCTGTATCAGAAGTCACATGTTTTCTTATAGAGCGCTGGCTCTTTAATAGGGCTTGTTTTCCCCTCCAATGGGGGCGTAGTCACCTTAGTGAGGGGGAGGTAACATCTGACTGCACTCATCCATAGAACCAAAGGGATTTCATGTGACACAATAGTCTTTGATGTGCAATCTATTGCAGTTCATTACAACAGCTCAACAATGTCCTCCACCATCCCACAGTTTCAAATGTTCTCTCTCAGTGAATGAGTGAGTTCATTTTGATTTCTGAAGTCTTAGTTGTTGGTTTTTCATCCCATCCCTAAGTTGTTTGTTTGTGTCCTCCCTGTATTTATAAATGGAAGGGAAACAGAATGAAGTCCTATGCAACCCCATCACATCAGCAGCTATGAGGATGGAGCTGCAACATAATTTAATTAACACCTCCTGACAGTGTCAACACTGGAAATTATATAGGCATAATAGATGCAGAATTTACGGCAGAACAGTTGTTTTAGACTGCAGTAGACTGTTAATTATGTGCATCTAATAAAGTGAACACTGAAACGATAAAGAAATGCTTTAAAAGTGTCGAAGTGTTTCAGCATGTTCACCCAGATTATTCCAGGACTTTATCTGTCATGGTACACAATGTTCAACGAGAAGGGTGCAACATATGCAATAAACATTGCACCAATATATCCCCCCTGAAACAGAGATAATGAGGTGCGAGTGCTAATGGTGCAGCAGGAATTTAGCTAATGCTAGCCCCATTAGCTTTACTAGAGCGAGAGCCGTTAGAGGCTGCTGTGAAGATACCAGGCACGCTAAATGAAATGTCAATAACAATGCACCTTAATGCCGTAAACAATGCACCTCAATTCCCCAGAGCTCCTCGATAATGCCTCCTCATTATCACCTCCTTTTGCCCCCCCCCCCTCCACTCCCCACACACACACACACACACATGCACACACACACCTCCTCCTCCTCCTCCTCTCGCCGCTCTAACCACTCACCGCTCTATGGTGCTGGACCTGCTTGTGGTTGGTGATGACCTGCCGGATGCCATTGACAAAGCCGCTCTGGTCGTTGGGGATGAGGCCCATGAATATTCTCTTCTTGGAGGAGTAGAGCAGCATCAGCACCCGCACTTCACAGGGTGAGGTGGTGTGGGGGAAGTGGACGCAGCCAGCCTGCAGGGAGGGTCAAGGGGCAGAGTAAGACTTTAACATGAAGTGGCACGGTCTGGTGCGACATAACCCACTCCTATACCTTTTTTTTAAATCTTTGAACCAATGCAAAGTTTTTCCACTTGATTCGTACTCTGCTTTAAAAATCTTATTTTGGCACAAAACTGAACTGAACACTCTTAAATCTCTGCTAATTCTCAATTAATCTGATTAACACAAAGAAACGATTAAGCAAGCTTCTTGGAACTGAATCTAACCTTAAAAAAAGACACTTTACATTTAGACTGATGCAAAGCATGTTCAAAATAACATGACCTACTCTGAAAGTGTGTGAATGTGTGGCCTGAAACCCCCTCTAGAGTCTGTACCACAGCACTGCAACCACACATGAAGCTCTCAGTCTATCTACCGGACAGAGGTGGAGGCTGCACTCGCCTGCCCCTCATGGAAAATGTATCGGGGGGGGCACTAAATGATGGATAAGTTTAGGGATGTGGAGGGAACAAACACTTAAAGGCTGCGGGAATTTGTAAAAAGCTTGAACACTCACAAAACCATTGGCCATAATGCGGTAGAGGCCTTTCAGTGACTCCATGTCTTTGTTGGTGAAGAGGAACTGAACCATTCGAGAGTTCCTGAAGAGGTGACCCAAGGTCGTCTGCAGAGAGAGTGAGTGGGCACTCAGTCATGCATCATTCACAAAATGCAAACAAAAGTCAGCACAACACTTGACAACACTTAAAGAACAGAAATGAAAGTCTTACCAGGAGCTGCTGTGGAATCAGCTGCATAATGAGCTTCTGTGGCCACTGGTCTGTGTTTCTGTCCGGGGACATGAGAGCAGTATTAAACAAGGCTCAGTTTCCTAAAAATAAAGTCTCAGCTCTGTCCCTGGGTACTCACAGATTTTCCCCTTGGTTAACGTGCACTTGACATGGCAGGGAGCGCGTCAGTTTGGTGGCTGAGTCCATCGAAGAGGCTTTAGGCTTCTGTGGGGTTGACATAAAGAGAAAAAGTGACACAACAAGTTGATGGTTATAAGAGAGCCAGAGGAAGAAAAGTCAAGGCCGATTAATTTGTAAAGCTCATGTGATACACCACAGAAATTCAAATTGCTTTATAAAAGAACATGAGACAGATTTAAAGAAACAATGCAAAGAAATGAAACACACTCAAAGATGGAGATTTAAAGCTTCCGGGGGGAACTTTGTGTCAGTGTTGATTATGGCACCCCCTATCTCATCGGGACAAAGTGAAACCTCTGACCTCTCTGCTAGTCTGACCAAAAGACTTCACCCTGCTCTTTCATTGACTGTAAATACTTGAATAAAATGTTTTTTTTTCTTCACAGTGCTAATAACATCTGTATCTTTATTCTTTCATATTCGACTTCTAAATATTTTGTATATGTTATCTAATCTTAATTCTGTCTACATGGAGTGAGTATGTGTGTCTTCTTTCCATCAGTTTGACTGTATTCAAGAGAGCATGTTCAAATGAGCCATATGCCGTCCTCAGGCTGTGGCCCCTCATTGTCGGTCTTGTCATCTTCATGTCATGCTTGTCTACTTAAGTGATCAGCCGTGTTTTAGTCGTGTGCAATAAACCATCAGATAATTATCCAGTCTGTTTCCTAATACTTCATTTGATCACCAGAAGAAACTGACAGCTAACCCCTCTCAGTGGAAACATTCTATTCCATAGTCTTTTTTTGCCGTTGGCCTCATTTGCTTTTGTAGACATCATAGTTACTCTCAGTCTGTTTCATAACCAGCGGAGAAAAGCACATAGCAAACATATTTTTACAGGGTCATGTTGGACTTCTTCATCTTTTAACAGGGTTTCTCCAACTCCAACGAGTTCAATGTGAGACTGTTCATGAGTATTTTAAGGCACTTGAGGGCACAAATGAAAACATCTTTCATGCCTTCAAACCAAAAGTTCCCAATTAGAGCATTTCCTCACACTTCAAATGTGTTTATTTTGACAGGCTTGAAGCACTTAATGTGCTGTGATTAAGCCTGTTATGGTGAGCCTGTTAAAGATACACACGCACAGAGGTCAGAGATGAGATGGTTTTTTTTGTTTGTTTTTTTTGTTTTTTTGGGGGGGTGCAATGGGTGCCTTCAGAGCAGCTTTCAGTTAGTGGCAGAATTTTCATTGATAACATATTGATCTTTTCTACAGCAAGACCAACTTAAAGATAAGAATTTATTGGAGGCCAGTGATGTTTTAACTTCCTAATCTAATTGTATTTAAAGATCTGTCAAAACGACAGATAAGGCAGTTATTCCAAGATTAAGATGCTATGTAGAAAAAAAATGTTGCAGTCCCTTTAAAGCTCCTGTGAGAAACTTTGGTCTTTTTTCAAAGCCCCCCTGTGATACCCCTTGTCTCTTTGCTGCTTTTGTCCTGGATGTGCCTGAGTAGTAGTAGTTTTCAACAACAAACAGATATGTTTGACTCAACCTGTGCCATGGAAATGTTAGACAAGTGCTGTCAGTCACTAGAGGTGAAAAAAATGATTGATTCTAAGATGCATTGCGATTCAGCTGTGCACGATTCTGCATCGATGCAGCGACATGACATAATCGCTTTTTTCCTTTTTTCCCCCTTCATTATTTATTTTTCTGGACGCACTTGGACAATAAAGTTGTGAGGTTTCAACTACTTCCAGGGGCAGGGTTGCCATGACATGCGCACTGTGTTGCACAAGAATCAATACAACAACAGAAATGGTGGATGGGGTTACGGCGTGAACCACAAGAGTAATCAAAGATGCACCCATTACCTTTAAATCGGACATCTGGTCTAATTTCCGCTTTTATGAACTTCATGGGAAGATTGAGAAGACGCATGCTGTGTGTAAAGCCTCCCAGATGAAAATAAAGTACTTTGGGAATGCAACTAATATGATGAAACGAGGACTTCGGCTGCAACAGCCAAGAAAACAGCAAGCACATCCCCACCAACAATCGAACAAGTGCTGACAACTTCGCCGGGAAGAGGATCACCAGTTCTGTTGCATGCTTCATTACTAAGGATCTACGGCCCTATTCGGTGGTAGAAAATGTTGGGTTTCGCTACCTTCTGAAGACACTTCAGCCACTGTATAACCTGCCAATAAAAAGTACCATGTCATAGAGCTGCTCTTCTGAAAACGCAATTTTCTTTTGTTTTATTTAAGTAATAATAGGCAGCGCACTTTAAAAATTGTAATTCACTATAGTGCAAAGATTCATGTTTTGTTTTTCAGGGACATCGAAATAAAAAAAGGAGTTCAAAACCACAGACTGTATATACTATGGACAACTTGGTTCTGTTTTCCGCCAGTTTACGGATTTGAAGTTGAAAAGTTCTCTGTAATTCTGCGTTTTTTCTCCACTTCCTGAAACCAACATTGCACAGTAGCATTGTACGCACTCCACCACTTGCGCAGTAGCATTGTACGCATTTGGCGAGAGAGTCGCTGAGTTGCTGTGATGACACTTGGCTGAAACAGGATATCCCCCGGGTGAGCTACGTAATCTTCGTACGCCCATAGGCTGTATCAGGTTTCAATCACAGAAAACATGAACCCCCTAATAATTTTAAAAAATGGAGCTGCACAGAAAAAAAGAGGACTTGAGCACAAACCAATCTCACAGTAACTACATGTCAACATCGCAAGCAGAGGGAGAAAAATGTATATTCTGTGTAATAAATTTCTAAAGTTTGTCCACAGCCCCATAGAGATTGTTGGAGGAGGTGGGATTTATGACCTATACTGCAGCCCGTCACCAGAGAGCGCTGTTCTCTGGGTGGCTTCACCCAGCGAGGAGGCAGATGCTGTCCGTTCTCTATACAGTCTAAATTCAAAACAATATGCATCCAACTGTTTGTAGTAGGTGATGAAAAATTATAGGTGCACAATGTGCAGTTTTAAAAAAAAAGGTGAGAATCAAATCGAATCGTTAAGCAGATAATCGGAATAGGATCGAATCGAGGGGCAGGTACCAATGCACACCTCAGTCACTACAAGTGGTACCTACCCCCGGTGAAAAAACCATCTGAATGGAGTCATTCTTTATTACAACAGTCCAAATGGATCCTCAATGTCATAAAGATACATCAGTGTAGATGTTTTTCTTTTTTTTTAACTAGCAAAAAAACTCTCACAGGAGCTTTAAAATCATTGTGAGGAGTTTTTGTATTTTCCATGGCAAAGGTTTCTAAAGAGTGTTGAAAATGAGCAGAGTGAGTCTTTCTTAGAAAACACTTCATAAACATGGACTGGAAATAATCTGCAAAGAAAGTAGAGTTTCTGCTTTGGCTGCTGGGGGCGCAAAGATCGACAGAAACCAAGAGTTTCTTGCAGGAGCTTCAAGTCCCCAAGATAGTCAGAGTAAAACGCTAATCTTAACATGCATAATTTAGTGAATCTGATCCACAGAGTGAAATGATCTTTTTGTCAAAAGGGGGTTGGTGGTTTTCAAGAAATCAATGTTACAATTGTTTCAGCTTGTTCTAACTGTCAGACACTTTGAAAGGCAACCAGGAAGCAGCCCTTTAAGGTGAACACCAAATGTCACTCAAACATCAGAATATGTAACATTAAAAATTAAAATAAAAGGTGACTAGGTCAAAAATGGTTGGAACTCCTCTTTAATCTGAACAGACTAGGTTCATGTGAGGATGCCCCCTAGCTGTGTCTTTCTGTTTGTGCAGGTATTAACCAGCTGGAGGTACCAGGAAAGACCCATGACACGCTAAGGGATTACATCTTCCAGCTGTCCTTGAGCAGCTGGAGAAGATCGCAGAGGAAAAAAAAAGAACAGAAAGGGTCCAACCTCCTTTCAACTCTGACCCCAATCAGGACAAGCAATTAAAAATTGGACAGATGAATGGACTTTTAAAAGCCTGGGGACAACCTCCTTAACAGCAAAATGTCAGAGAAAAAAAAGAAAGGATTGGCTTTCTACCCACGTCGATGCGGAAATCCCACTCAGGGAAACCACCAAACCTCTTCAATGCTGGATCAATGATTAATCAATCACATATATTAGTCAGGCCTGCTGTAGTCCCTGTGCTGCCCATTACAAATGTATTGTGCTGGCTTTTGCAGACAAATGAGTAATTTTCCAGGGCTTGTTACTGCAGAAAAAAAGGATCCCAATACAGGACAGTAGGACAAAAATGCTGTTTGTCTACTCTAATGAAAGTGATGAAATTAGACAAAAGCGGAACTATTTATGAAAAATAAAACTGTCCTTGTCAGAGCAATTCTCTATCCAAACATTAGAGATTCACCTCTAGAGCTGGAACCCTGACGAAAGCAGTGGAGGTAGAAATGGAAGATTCAGAGCAATGTTTCTGTGCTACTAAGACTCTGAGTTTTTTGATCTGCTCGTGCTTCTCCCTGTCTGTTTAACCCACTCAGATAATTTTGACAAACAGGAGAGGGAGGATGGAAATGCGGGTCGACAGGGCAATCGATCTGAGCCCGTCCACCAAACACAAACACTTGAGGGCCTCGTGAGTGTCGCATTAGAGCCATTAGCCATCCATTTTCCTGGCTCAGCATTGCAACTGTAAACTCAATGATTTGACCTTGAGCTATGTCAATAGCTGCAAGAAGCTTAAATGATGTGCAATTAATCATACTGTGCAATAATCAATGACAGGTGGTTATTAAGACTTACCACTGTGATGATCACATCTATACTTAAAGGGTCCTGCTGTTTTGTTTTAGTTCAGCTGTTTGATATAGGCTCATTTACAACTGTAAGATCGGTCCAGCAAAACCAACGAAATAACACTTTCATAAACTACACTCATTCTCTTCTTGGCCTGAAGTAGAAGTCAAATCCCTCTTCAGAGCTTTTCACTCCCATTATTAAAGAGCTGACAAACCGCCAAATTTACAGTTTGTAAATAATGATGATTAATAAGTATACACACAATTAGAAAAGACACCAGAGTGCAATGGTTTGCCAGGCTGGCAAATGATACCATGTCATTCAGATATCAGATTCTCACTTCATGGTTACTGTGGCCTTAAAATATGGCAATAACGGTATTAGTGTTATTATTATATTTGTGAGAATCTTGAAATTTTAAAACAACACAGTTAATGAAATTGAGAAATGCAAAACAAGGGTGGAGCAGCATCACTATGTTCACCATATCTACACACAGTTAACGCTCATGTTATCATTTATTTCTAATGATGTTCAAATATATGATTCATTGACATCACTAACCGAAGCTTCTTTAGAGAGCACTCTCCCTCATAGAACAAAATGTTTGCATCCTTTTGTTTTGATATTTTCTTGGTCTCATGTGTAGGTTGCCTTATTTTGAACATTATGACACTATGCTTTTATTTTGAAGTTGAATTTCAGTTTTTCAAAAGTGCTGAATCAGCTCTTGGGGAGCTGCTTCAAACTAGTTAACAAACAGTCTGCTGCTGCTTCTTCCTCTCCATTTTATAGCAACCAGTAAAAAGGACCTCAGCTATTAAGTCTTTGTATTACTGTTTGCTTATTTTTTTGCACAATATCAATATTTAATATTTGAATAAATACCGTCAATACTGCGACAGAAAATGAAGAGACACTTGAATAAAGATATGTTCATTACATAAAAATTGGACTGATTAAGAAACAGCTCGTTTGAATTTGTAGGTATTTCGTAAAATCCCTGCTCTAGTACCATAATGCTAACAAATTCAAATATCATATTATGTTCCCAAAGTCCTGTTGTCACCAAAAGGCTGCCCTGTCACAAATTAAAACTTCTAGAAGTAACAGCAAATGCCAAGAGGTAATGTAAAACTTGAGATATATCCATATTCAGATCTGGTTTCCTCTGGACAAAGTTCAGCAAAGCACTTCTTTCTTTACTTGTTCTTCATGCTAAGCTAAGCTGCTGGCCGTTTCCTGATTTTAACCAAACAGACAAGAAGGTGGGTGTTTCTCATCCAACTCAAGGCAAGAAAGCTGATGAGTCAGTTTCCCATTAGGTTGTACTTTTTTCTGACTGAGCTCTGCATTGCGGGGAGATAAGCTGGCTTTAGCCTCCACTTCAGTGCTGCCTTTCATCCAAACTGGTTTGTAAATTTTTGGGGAACACAAAAACATATCCTCCATAAAAGGAAGCTTTCTTCATCCTCTCATGACACAGCTTTATACTGAGGACACTAGTTCAGACTCTTTACTGAATGTTACCTCTTGCCACTCCAGAACGCCAGTCCAGGCTACAATCTTGTTGGCCACGCCTTGCTGTCCGATGGGATTCGCATTACCTGCAGCTCCTGACACACCAGCCTGTTAAGGAAACGAGGGGAAGAGAGGATGTTGAGTGTTGTGTATTTGTACTATTTTAGGCCAAAACAGAACCGTCACCAGTCAGAAACATGTGTAAGGATGGGCTAAGAGAATGATTTGAAACCCTTACAGCTAATTAGTCGAGATAGTTAAGAAAAGCTAAAACATGATATTCCTTTCTGGGAAAAAATATAAGTCATGAATGAAATGCACAAGTGAAAAGTAGCATTGACTGTACCTACAAAGTTTTCTTAGGTTTAGAAGATGATCCAGTTTTGATCAGCGAGTAGTTACTGCCTTTAAAATTCATTTTGATGTCCGACTGGAGCTAACTCAGCTCCAGGCTGCTGCTGCTGCTGCTGTTACACAGCACAGATTAAAGACTTGGCTTTCTGATTCCTAACACAGGCAGGGACACTTACATTAGAAAATATTGATTCGATTTAAACATTGATAGTGTTTACAACCCACTGAGACCAAGAACCTAAGAACTTAGCAGAGTGCTTTGAGTAATATTAACTCCACTGAATGTTGGCTCTAACACTCTACAGCTTAAAAAAACAACACTCTGGTTACCTTTGCAGGAAGTTTTGTTCACATTGAGAAGTGAATATCATTTTCTGTCTACTGGAGATTTGCAGTCTGTCTTATTTGCTATAATTACCTCATATCTAGATAACTGTAACTCTCCTTATGTGGGAGTCAGTCATCCCCAGCTTGCCTGCAGCTACCAGAGATCAAGAATAGCAGTGAGAAAAGGGTTCTCCTGTGCCAGTCTCCTTTCACTGAGTGCCAATGAAACGTAAAGAAAAAATGAACTATTTGTTTTGTTAGCAGCATCAGAGCTGATGATACACTAGGATTTGTTTAAACTCTATGATCATGATGCACTCGAAGTGATAAGGAATTTAGCAGCCCAGAAAAGTGCTTCACTCACTCATACAACAGAAAAAAATCACATTTGTCCTTAGTCATATGTGTAAATTACAGAATCCCTATTATCATGATTATTTTTATTATTACTGTGGTTGATCAGCTGATCTTTTTTTTTACAAATAAACTGGGATTACTGATGTAGTGTCAGACCAAGATCCTTTTATCTGAATCTGTTAGTGGACAAGGGAACTCCTCTCAGTGTGGTTTGAGGACCAACCGGATTTTAAAGTGTAACTGTAGCAGCAAGGACGTGTAACCCTAACCCTTCAGGAGACTAAAGAACTACATGACCATCACCCTTGTTGATTGTACTTATAACTTATCAGCTGAACAAATCAATATTTTTTTCAATTTCTGAAGAAGTTTGATGATGAGTGTGTCATTAAAAGTTTGGTTGGTTACATACGTAGATACAGTCAAGATGGTGGTAAACCCTTAAGCCTAAAGGCAGGAGACCCTACTGATAATAAACCTCCTTTTTGATGTGATGGGATATCAAAATGTAAAAATAACTCCCATGTGTTTTGGTTAAGTTATTAGAAAAGAGTTTTTGTGAAAGACGCAGTGGCTTCTGGGAGTATAAACTATCTATAAGGACCACATCTTCTTGCATTTTTAATCTGGTCAGGATGAAGCACAAAGGGCAAAATTCATGGATAAATGAACTTCAGAGGTTTTTAGAGACTTTGTCTTTTTTGAATTATGGAGAGACACACTGGCTGCCCTCCCATATTCATGATCTTTGTGCACAGATAAGCTAACCAGCCACAGATCTTACATTAATCAGAGGTATTGGATTTTTATTGATGCGTCTCCATAGCTTTAGCAGGAAACTCCAAGTCTGAAACTCACATTACGTATCACCACCTAAACAGAACTTAGATTCATGCGCTAACCTTCCCCCCGAAACAGTGAGGAGGACACCAGTTCTTTATCACTCTGACAGAAAATTTGACACTATATGTTTAATAAGGATGGTCATGATTTACCATGTTGGGCTGCGCTGAAGCCGCTGTGGGCTGATTTGTGAGGGACTGCTGCTGAGGCTGCCCCTGTTGCTGCTGATTGGGAACAGGCTGCCCAGGAGGCGGGACTGGCTGCTGTTGATTTGGAGGAACTTGTTGCTGCTGCATCAAGGGTTGTGAGGCCGTGGTGACTGTGGATATGCTCGGCTGATTGTGCTTCACCCCCGCGACTGATGGGATGTTTGGCTGACCTGTGAATGGGGGACCTTGACTGACCATTCCTGGGACTAGGGGAGGAAAAAACATGCTCAGTTAAAAAAACAATTTACTCTTATAACTTCCATCTTCAAGCTTAGATACAGGTCACTCTGGGTGAAAGAATCTAGTAAATACAAATAAAAAAGGGGAACAAGGCAGATTTAAAATGTTTGGAAACAGTTTTCTGAAAAAATAAAGCTTTATTTAGCCTTACTCTAAGATGTACAGACAGTGGCACACGGAGAACATAGACACCGAGACACAACAGCTAAAAGCCTGGCAAACATAAACAGCCCACTGGCAACTCACAGCTTCTCTTCTGGCTGTTGGCTGCCTCCACGGCCATCTGTGCAGCTGCCTGAGCAGCAGCCATGGGGGGCTGATTCTGTCAGCAAGAAGATTTAAAGAAAGACAAAGCTGGGTTAAACATTTTAAGGAGCAAACATAAACACCTCCCTATGAAACTCAGCCAAAAACAGGCGGCAGGAGGAAGTGTTCGGAGAGCTTTACAACTGTGTGTGGCTGCTCACCCCTTACCTGGTAAGGGTGGGATGGGTTAATGGGTGGAACGGGCTGTGAGGCTCCACCAAGAGCCTGGCTGTTGGGTTGCAGGGGAAGTACAGGTTTGAGTGGCCCTGGACCTCCACCTAAGGAAACTGGAGACAGAAAGAAGAACAAGCCCGAAGTTTTGAAGACAATTTTGAAGTGTAATAACATTCTGTGGAAGTAATGTAGGAGCTCAATAGTTCATCACTAAGAGTCAAGGATTAGAAACATTTACCAGGGATTGACTCCTACTCACAGTCAAATGTAGGAGGAACCATTAGGAGCAGCTCAAAAAGTCTTTATCTAAGCTACCGCCAACTTAGAAGGAACCTGCTATAATCTTCTTAGAGAACAATTGTGTGATTTTTTTAGATTTCCAGCAGCCTTTACCATGTAAAGCTGAAAACTAAAACCACGAGTAAAGATGTAAAAATAACATTTATGTGTTAAAACTCATCAAAATCAAACACAAAGGAAGAGAAGGCACACTGGAGCAAACAAACAATCAAAAAGGGATTTAGCATCAAAGTTGAAAGAACAAACACAAAAGATGCACAGAAAGAGATAAGGACATTCATTCCAGCTTTACTTGTGTTGTTTAAAGCCCACAAACCGTCCAAAAAAAGTGGGACTGGAGAGACAGGTTTTACATGCATGTCAATGTTCATTATGAACGTTACACAGTGCAAGCATTGCAAACTCGCTTTAAAGGCTAATATACTTTCTGAATGGGCAGACCTCTGCTGTAGTCCTCAACATAAACACATTTAAAACAGAGCATAGTTAAATGACTTAGGCCGGTTTGTTTGCACTGATTTCAGATACTGATACAGGCCCGTTGTTTGCAGATCAGCTCCATTAGAGATGGTGTCAAACAGCTTCCTGTTGCAGAACATTAACTTCCACGCAGACAAGATGCACACCCAATATAATCTCTGTTAAATGTGATTGTTCTCAACCGGCTCATGAAAAAAAATACCTGTAGCTGTGCCAGTCAGATATTGAATGACTTTCAGTTGAAGCGATTTACTATTGCCTTTTGAATGGGTACAAAATGAGGGATGACACAGAGGATTAATACAACAAGGCCAGGCATCATTGACTTGTGTAATGCACAAATCATTGCATTACTTGCACCAAAGATCAAACGTGAGTCCTCAAAGTTCTGTCATTTATGACTTTAATCCTTAACTTGACTTTTACGAAGCCTCTTGTAGTCTGTAACTCATAAGATAGCCTAATGTACTGTTGCATGACTATGTTATTTATCAATAATCCCTAAATCACTGTAAATAGATATAACTGTCACCACAGGTAACTTATGGGATATCTCATATTATATTATTTAGTATTGCATTATATGACATCTTATCAGAGTATCATTCCACATAGTATTGCATCATATTGCATCATAACAAATTATGTCTAAATGCATCACATCTTATAGTATGGCATCCAACTCTATCATATTCTATGGTGTCTAACATATTGTATTGTATTTTATTATATCAAATTGAAGTGTTTTATACAACAACCCCGGATTGTATTGTATTATGATCTATCGCATCATGCTCTATTGCATAATATTGTATAACATTGTATTGTAACTGTCTCCACACCAGTGGCGTAACATCATGGTGATAGACTCTGGTGCAAATATTTTTTTGTGCCCCCACCCCTGCCCTAAACAAAAGCGTACACCGCACACACGCACAGCCAATACAGAGAACTGCTATTATTGCCATGTAGGCTGACAGCCTAAACACGCTGCACTCTTTCCTTCTTTCTTTCTTTCTTTTTTTTTTTTTTTTGCCACCGGCTTCCCTGTTTGTGTCATTTTGTGGAGCTTTAAGGCTAAATATCTCTGATGCTCTACTCTGCTCGTGCTGCTCTTGCGCGCTCTCTCCCTGTGCCACAGAGAAAAACTTTACTTCCCTGCCAGCCATTTCTTTTTGTAATCTTGATGAGAGGCAGAGCCGGTCGCTGTGCATCATTGTGGAGGAAATGCATCCATTGCGTGCGATCAGCACTGTGGAGAACTCCCCCGGTGCTGATTTTTTACTTTGTTTTTTTCCACCCTCCTTCATGGACCACTGACGGCGTCAGGGCCACAGTGCAGCTGCATCAGTTGCACCGCCGATATATATGCCTGTGCTCCACAAACCAAGTGCGATTAAAAACATCCGCGCGAATGAATTACACGTTACCTCAATGCAAACACGCGATGAAATGCTTGTAATACTCTGGCGGCATGGATGACGTGACTTGGGCGGGAGCTGAAAATGTCTCAACTTGAGCGGATATTCACGTCGCAATAAGTAAGCAACACAGAGGTTGCTGGGTGACATATGAAAACAGACAGTTGTTCACTGGTATCTAAAATGGAGGACAAACTGATCATTTCGGTGAGTGGGTGCCCTGAATCATATGATACCTTTTCTTTTTATTACTGAAACCGGAATACAAAGGAGCTCGCCTGGGGATTCCCATGAATCAAGCAAGTAGAGGATTATACTCGTGCTTGGTGTGAGTGCACCGTGACATATTATATCATATCATACAATATCATATCCATCATATCTTCTTGTATCATCTCTAATCATACTGTTTTGTTTTGCATTACATCGCTGTCACCCCATCAAATTTTACCTCTGGATAATCATAGACATAAAATATCATGAAAACGATATTATTGCTCTGTTTCTGGAAATTTTTCATTAAAAAAAACACAGTGAGTGAAATTGAGAATGGCAAGAAAATGCAGAGCAACATAATGAAAATATGTTCATCAAAATGACAAGCTACCTCTAGTAGATCATAAGTTAGGGAACTGGATGAAAGCCGTCTAAAGAAAAGAGTCATCATGACAATCATCTCTTAGAGCTGCTTTGAGCTAGTTCACAGGATATCTGCTACGTCTTCTTCTCCGTCTCTCCTCTCTGTCATCCTTGGCAACGAATTCATCATATTACTGCATGCAAATTTTTCACACTAGTCAGTATTTATTATTTAATAAAGACCATTACCATCAAAATCAGTAATATCAACAGCCCTGTATCATACTACATTGAATTATATCATATCTTCTCAAGTTACCCTGTAGTTCCCACCCGTTTAAAACAGTCTTTGTCAAAAATGGTATTAGCAAAAGGAGTCAGCTGCTTAGCCTATGAACTGTAAAAAAAAAATAAAAATTCTGCAGATGCTGAATATTCAGAAAGTGTCCAAAAACATTACATAAATATGCAAATCTATTTTAAAAGTTTAAACTGTCTCCAAAGTACAATGCAGTTTTATTTCTTTTTCCAAGGAAAGTTGATAAATGTGGGCAGACTGGTCCAAGCACAGTGCCGCCCACACAAACAAGGTGCTAAATCGTGTTTTCTCACCAGGAAGCGAGATCCCTCTGACCAGGACCATGTGGAAAGGGTCCTGACTGTAGTCTGGATGAGGTTCAACTGCACCGCCTACTGGAGATGCCCGTTCAAACAGAGCCCTGAGAGCTGGCAGTTTGCGCGGAGCCACTACAGAGAAGTTAATTCCTCTCTGAGAAAAGACAAACAAAATGAGAAAAATTCAACAAGAGAAGACATCAATCACATACAGTCCATTTCCAAATTCAAAGAATATTCTTTGAAACAAGTCTTTGGTTTCATTTGGTGTCAAATTTAGGAAAACATGAAGCACAATGACAGATGACTCACATCCCTGATGATTTTGACCAGGTTGTCTGCCGTGCAGCCTGTGTAGCTGACACTCTCCACAGCAGGGAGCAGGTAAGGAGGAGAGTTACATAGCAGCACACACACCTTATGGGTTTGACCTCTGGAGAGAGAGAAAAACAGCAAGCAAAAAGCTGACAACTTTGTCTCCGATGAGTAGTTCACATGTCATCAGTCTCTTTGAGGATACTTTTTGCCTTTAGATGTGCTCAAAAAACAAAACATTTGGTTTGGGGGGCAGCTAGGCAGCATGCAGAAGGAAGAGGAGACTTCCACATATAAACCACTACATCACATATAAGGGCACTAACACACCAGCAGAGAGCCTTATACAGATAACTGAGGCTAACAGAAAAGTGTACGAAGCATGAATGATGTCTCTCTCACGGTAAATTTTCCTGATTATTTCCTGCTGCGTTCTAACCCAACTTCTCTCAGACATTTTACAATGGGGTTGGCATGAAAAGCATGTTTAACATAACTAAGCTGTCTATGTGAACACATGTCGGCCTCCCAGATAAAGTCAGGAAATCTTTAGGAGTTTGGTATGTGTCTGTAAAGGGCTTTAGAGAGGTCTGCATGCAGTAAATGTAGATTTGTTTACAGCGGCTCCATGAGAAACAGCTAATACCCCTTATTGCTTCATCAGGACTTTCTGACTGAATGTAACATATGCTGTTCTACGCCTTGCTATGATGCTACCATTGGTGTAGAAGTATGGAGTCACTGAGCAGAGTCAAACTTCTGGACCACTTACATTTGCTCTCGCATCTTCTTAAAGTCATCGAAGAGCTGCAGGGCCACAGAGAGTCCCTCTGCTATTAGACTACAGCTTTCTGCTCCACCTCCCATGAACCTGAGAGAGAAAAAGAGTCTGTTTAGTGCCTGCTGTCTTCACAAATGTGGGAATCTGAAGCAGCATGAGTGAAAAGTTTGAGAAAATTTTTTACTGAATACTGTCGATCCAAGAGACAAACTCAAAAGCTGAACTTGTTGGTGCATGGCACTGGACATATGACTCAGGGGCACAGTCCACTGTGTTGAATACCACAAGGCCATACTGTGTTCCTCCATACTAGAAGGACAAAAGAAGCATAATCATATTGTCAAAAGTCAAGTCTTTTTTCAACATCATTTTACTCTGAAGATAAACTTAAACACTTACATCCCCGCCAAAGTCTGTTTCTGCAGGGGGCCCTCCGTTAAAATATCTGTGTTTGACAAAACAAAGAAAATAAGGGGCCAAAACATGAAAACTGCACAAAGCTACAACAACTCTCCGTGTTCTTACTCAATTGCTGGAAGGATGTAATTTTTTCGTAGGGATTCAAAGTAGGGTCCAAGGTTTGCCGTCCCTTCGATTACGAACACCACATCAGCCACCTGGTTGTTCCCAGGCTTGGTGGAAGGCTCCATGAGTGCTGAGCCTGCCACCATGGAGTATCTGGACAAGAAGGGAACAGACTTTTATTTAGAAATCACCATGGTTTGACAACAAAAAAAAAATCGTACCATTGTGTTGGGCAAATTCTATTCTACAATTACTCCCTTCCTAAAGTATTGAAACACTTCCTGTGTTGAAATGTTGAAAGATGAACATTTCAGCTTTGATTTCCAGGTATCTACATATAGATCAGATACAAACCTTAGAGGATAGAAGACGGCACATATTACAATGGAACACCAATTTTAGCGGAGAGCAGAAGTATTGGTACAGATGGTCTTACAATAGATTTAAGTGAATATCTAGTTGCAAATCCTTTGTTTGCCATAACCACATCAAGCCTGTGACCCACTGATATCACCAAACTTTTGCACTTTATGATGCTTGTCGAGGTTTTCTCTGCAGCCTCTCTCAGTTGTTTGTTTAGGGGTGTTAGTCACTCCAGTCTCCTCTTTAGCTGGACAAATGCATGCACTGCATGGTTTGAGACTGACTTGGCTAGTCTAAAATCTTCCGCTTCTTGCCTCTGATGAGCTCCTTTGTAGTTCTGGCAGTGAGTTTTGGGTCATTATCTTGCTGCATGACAAAGGATCCCCCAATCCGTTAGGCTGCATCTTTTTTTAAATGGACAGACACTATGTTTCTGTAGATGTCTGCTACAAATCGAGAGAGTAACATCATCAATTGTAGCGTGTATGTTTGAGATGATCCTGAAAAAAACAGAAAATGAGTGCTACCCCCCACAGAAATGCAGACAAAGGTTCAACAGATGATGACATTGTCAACAACACTGGCACGAAAACGTTGGTGGTGTGGAGGTATTTTGGTTTTTTGAGGTCGGACATGAAGCAGAGTGATGTGCACTGCAAATAATGTCGAGTACATGTTCTCGCAAAGTCGAGGAATACCTCAAATCTTTTTCACCACCTGTAGCAGTGCAATGCGGCAGAGCATATGCAGCACAATAGGTTACAAACACCAGGTGGAGCAAGGAGCCCATGGCACCTGAGCAGCCGAAACAGCCGACCATTCTAGTCCGCTTTCTCAAGCACAACGCCTTACTATAAAACATCAAAAAGACACAAAGACCTTACAGACGCAGTGGCTTATTGTATTGAAAAACCCATGCTTCCAATAAGCATGGTTAATTTTCATTTTTTATATCGTGTTATATACCGATATCGACTGATATGAAAAATATTTCATGTGATAAACTTTTTTCCATTGCTTATCCCTAGCTTCACCGTTCCAACACTTTTTGTTACAGCTTGAAGTTACAGTTACAGCTTAAACAGCCAGCCTGTGTGGTACACATCTGAGTATCTCAGGCTCAAGGACACCAGGTGTGAGAAAACCAGCAGATCAGTCTCATTTGTTTGATAATACCTGAACTATAATCCAGATAAGCAGCCACTTTTTATGTATTTTGCCCGTTTTTGGAGAACACCAATCTCAGTACACTTAAAGTCCACATGCAGATTCTTAATACAACTCAAAGACTTGCACATCTCTTTTATTCTTCATGATCTGTACTACAGATACTCTTCTATGAGCCTGGGACTAGGATCTAATTCAGGACCCAAAATTTACTTTTCAACTTCAGATACACAACTAGAGATGAGACAGCTTCCAAATGCATCCAGGGTACCCAACCTTCAAGGAAAAACTGAGACTTGAAGGTAGATATCTTTACCTTAAACCTGTTTGTTTACATTTCATGTCACATGCAACATCAATGAGGATGAATTTTAACATTCTCATCCCCACTTTTTGGTCAAACCTTTGTAAACATGCTACATGTCAAAGTATTTCAGTTAGATGAGAAAAATACTTTGAAGCCATCACACTGTTTTCTTATTCATTGGCTCTACATCGAGGCTAACCTCGCAAATCGACCTCACTAATTAATCAATATCTGCGAATACTTTTATATATTTTGTTGCAATGTGCATGAAAAGGAGTGGAAACACAAGTTTTTATGTTTTTTATGGCCAGGGTTAACAGAATATTTTACTTTAGCATGTTTTCTTGTTTATTCAGTGTTAACTAGCCTAGCTGTGACGCCGGTGAACGACATAGCTAAAACAGTTGGGACTTCGCCAATTAACCGTCCTGTTATGAATCAGTGTGGACTGACCTGAGAGTTTCACGATACCAGTTGAATCCTGGATTGATTTAAACACGATTACAGCATTAAAAAGCCAAATTTAGTACAGCAGATACAGCATGGCTAGCTGTATCGTTTGTTTTATTTTTGACGGAAGTGACATATCCAGACTCTCACAGCATGACGCAATGACAGTCTTCTTCGACTGTTCTGTAACACAAGATTACACCGGGTGCATTGCTGCCCCTTGCGACTCGAAACGTTAAGTGAAACTACATGTACACCCTTATTGGTAGACCATTCACGAGCTCCTGTTCACATGACGACAAATAGATAAAACGTCAAAGGTAAGGTAAGGCTGGCATTTAGTAATAGATCAAAGCAAACAAAGAGACAGAATAACGACTCGGTTCTCTGGGAAACTACAAAACCTGCAAACGGCTGTTGTAAATTGCTTTGTCTCTGCTTACCTCAGAGAGCTGGTGCAAACATATTAAGTGCATTTTAATCTCTGGGTTCTCCTGTCTCTGATGAACTGATAGTTGGATGATTCATACCGCCGTAGACAATTTTTTTGACCCCCAATCACTGACTTTTTTATTATCCACCAGAGGCATTGTTGAGTCATAGCTGACAAATTGGGAACTGCTGCAGCTCTCCAGGGTTAGAATATAAAAACCTGGCTGTGTGATTCATTTTTTAGTGGGACTGGGGACACAATATTGTTTAAAATGATTACAGATGGATAAATCATATTTACAATAGTAAATGTGTCCTTTATACATTCTTTTCCACTTTACAAACTCATGGCAGTGTAATGTGACTTTGGACAGGGCTGATGAGCTGACCTAGTAGCAGGTGTGCCTAGTGAGAGGTGTCCCTGATTGCAGGCAGGAGAGACAAAAGGGCAGAGAGTTGGGAGCAGCACCCATCACAGCGGTTTGGCACTCCTTAAGAGGGAGGGTGTCGTTTGTTGCTGGTCAGGGCTGCTGTCGACAAAGACAGCTAAAGTAGTCAGATGTTCTCGCACCAGGAGGGAAGGGCAAACACCTCCCTTAGATAGTCAGGGCTGGGTAATAGTGAGTGCTGTGGCCACCATTGCCCCACTGCCTGGGCCTGCGTAAACTGACATCAGCTGGGCCCTGTGTACGACATCCAGTAAGGCAATTTTTTAGGGTTTTTCTCTTTGTGGGAACAGTCCAACTGAGCTGAACAATTTAAAATGGCTGTGGATGTTGAAAAAATGAGATTAATCTTTAGGATAAAAAATGTATGGCTTTTCCTTGTCTGGCAGAGTTTGTGAGGTTTATAGTGGATTGTCAGCAACAGCTAAAACTAACTATTCCTTATTGAAGGATGCAATAGATAGATACTTGAAACTATGCGATAGTGATGACAAGGACAGGGCCAATTTTTCTTTTTGGCGAAGACTACATAATGAGTCAGTCAGAGAATTTGGTATTGCACTGGGACATCTAGTAGTTAAAGCCTACACCTTCAAAGACCTTAATACCCAAGACTTGTTAACTAAAGATCATTTTGCGGCCCATGTTGGAAGTGGTGACCTGTACATTAGTCTTTGCAGTGCCAAGCCTGCTACAGTAGAAGATGCAATTAATCTCACATCAGAGCTTGAGCTAATTAGAGGTTTGAAAAGTATAGTGTAGTCCCTGATGCTGGGGTATGTGAGGTTGGTGAGAAGTCTGGGGATGTTGAACGAGTTGATGAATTGCTTGTAGTTGTAGAAGGTGTGCAACAGGAGGTTTAGTCTCTGCAAACCACTTTGCAGTTACTGATAGCTCTAAGTACACCTGCTCCTGGACTGGCTCCTCCAGAATGGGCCCCTCCCCCTCTCTTACCAAAAGCACATGCCCCTGGGCCTAAACGAAAGGTTGAATCTAGGGGAGGATGCTGGGAATGCTGTTGTAATCACTACATACAACAAGACTGTCCTTATTTACAGGTAAACTAGAGGGGGAGTAGGCAGAGGGCCAAATGTCAATCCCCTGTCCTTCAGCTGTAATGGCCCCTAATGGCTTAAAGAGTGGCTCTAGCTACCTTAAAGCTGATAGTTAAAGCCCAGAGGCCCTGTTAGATGCCAGGTGGGTCCACTATTGCTCGTCTAGCCGAAGTTCAACTGCAGGAGGGAGGATGTCACTGACAAGGCAAACAGATCAGAGCATAGTTAGAGAGGGCACAAGAGTAGAAGGAGCTCCATGTGGTCATCAACCAGCAACCTCCTCAGTTGACCATGTTGCAGTGACCACCTGTGTAGGCAGAGACTGTATCCAGTCAGAGACAACAGGACACTGTTGCGTCCCAATGATGGAAGGGGAGGGCCCCTGTGCGGCAGAGTAGACCATTATCAAATGTCATCGGGGGGTGGGTGGATGGACGGGGTTTGTGGCAGGTGTCCCTGACCAATCACAGCAGCTTTGCACTTTTTAGGAGCGAGGGTATTAGTGGCTGTTTAGGGCTGTCCGTGACAAAAAAGTTTGACGGCTCTGTGACAGTCTTCGGAAAGCCACATTTATTTCAGCAGGCAAACTATTTATAGTTGACCACTTTAGATGGAGCCAGAGGGTTAACAAAGAGTGGTCTCCCATCGTAAAGAAACAAATAGCACATCTGTCTGATCACAATTGGAAAACCAATAAAGTTTGTGTTTTTTCTATCGATCAGCTCGACATTATGTGTAGATTTGTCTTGTAAAAATAAAACTTGTTTGATTAACCCCTGGAGCCAAAACTGTTCTGACCTTCAGTCTGAACAGAAGAGACTTTAATCATAAACTTAAACGTGTTCCTACTATTATGGGGACAGCGGCTGAACTGCTGCTCCTACGAGGCCTCATAGACCCTACCCCCACACTGAGTGCCAATCCACAACAAGGCTCGTTCAGATAGATGATGCCTGACAAGTGCACTATTCAAGGATCAGCTTATTTTGAATAAATAAATACTTGTAGTATTTTGTAGTTCCATTGAAGTCATGAAAACAACAATCACAGCAAATGTCAGCAAGGCTTTCAGACACATAAAGCTTCTCTAACTTAAAGCTCCCGTAAGGGACTTTTGTAATAGTAATATAGCTTTACTTACTATATAACAGGAAAGGAAATGAAGAAAATGTAGCTATTCTTTTCAGTATCAGCCAACATTGACAGCTTATCTTTGACTGGTATCTGTTCATAGAAATACACGACAAGCATCTCTTCCTCTTTTACATTCTCTCTGAAGTAGTGCTGGAAATATCTAAGTGCTGTTGAAGTTCATGTCCAGGAGATGTCAGCAAATCTCTGCATTATGTACAGTAGATGTTTTGCCTTCATTAGGGGGACAAGACTACAGATCAAATCACAAAGAGGCTGAAGACTGTCTGTCTACCGTAACTATGGGTTTTAATTTTGACTGAGCAAAGTTACAGAAAAGAAAATCTCATCGTGCTCTGTTGTTTCATTACACAGAAAATTTACCCTCGAACCATAATCCTATTTGAATGACTATAGCTGTTTGTTATTTGATGCTTAAATCACTGAACCTGATTACATTTTTACCCGCCATAATCTCAAAGCTGAAAACAAGATCATAATAATTACCACAGCATCCCTCCCTGATATCAGATCAGCAAAATACATCAGGGGCTAACCTGTACTCATAGCACATCCCAGCACTTGTTTCTGTGGGTCCAACAATAGCATCTTGTCCCTTGTGGCCCAGCCAGCCAGCTCAGCACAGCGTTCAGCGAAGGGCTTCACAGCTCATCAAACTCAAAACCTCCCACAGAAGAAATGCTCCATATCAATTTAACCCAAATTCTAGGGAGGGCAACAAGCTGTGGGCTCAGACGGCTTTTCCATTTGGTCATGAGTGAGACGAACTGCTTCCGGTGACCCAAGAGAAGTTCATCTGGGGGAGTACTTCTGCCTGAGGCTACCCCTGGGATGCAAATAATAACAAACCCCTCACAGAGCTTTTTATTACGGCTGAGCAATGTGGCCAAATTAAACTGACAGACAGGATTGTAAATGTTTGTGCATGTGTGTTTGAATGTGCATGCGTAGGCACCCTTTTACTTTGCAACTCTGCTGCTTTCTGTTACTCAGAGGGATATAAGGCATGTCTTGCTGCTTTGAACTTCAACACACACACAGTGCTAGTGGTTGCCAAGCAATTACAGGAAGGCTGCTTTTCGGGTTTGCCTTTAGAAAAAAGCTAACTGTGTTTTCTTTTTCCTTTTCTTTTTTTTTTTTTTGTTTGGTTAGGGAATTACATAATAAAATATGAATGAGAAATATACCTGGTCCCTAGGTGCTCTGTGTCTGCAAGGTCCAGGTGGTTCGGTAAAGACAATCCGTCTCCTGACCATGGTACCCAGCTGGGACGCTGAGGGCCAGATGGTCTGTTCACAACAGGTAATCACAGCCAGCGTGCTGATACACTGACAACCACACAAATGGGCTTCCAGAGACACCCTGAGTATTTGAGATGCTGTGATGGTTCCCTGACACTCTCTGGGGGGATTTCTCTATTGAGTCTGACATCTGTGAGATGCAGGAGAAGTTTGACTTTCCCGTACTACTTCCACATCTTAAAGGCTAAATCGTGAAAAACCTACGGTCAGACAATCTTTTTAGTATGTGAAGTAGTGATTGCAGAGAAATAATGTCAAAGGATGTTTCACAGAAGTTTCTATTTGTACGGTGAATATCATTTGGTTCTTCCATGAGAACAAATTACAGAGAAGGTCAGGTCCTGGAGCCCGGCTACTTTTTTTTAATACACTCTCCTCCTGCGGAGCCAAGCTACTTCAGTACTCCTGCTTGAGCTTTCCACTTGCATGCATTCATTGAATTCATCATTTTGAAAGGCTGTGGGTATTATTTTTAGGGCTGTAATAAAATGTTAAAAACCATATACGTGACATAATATGTGGTCTTGCGCTGTGCTTTTAGGATAAGAAAACAAAAGTTTGGAGTCAGGGTCACGCAATATTTGCAGATTGAAGTGGAGGCAAATTTGAACATGAATAAACATGCAGGAGGTCTGATCTAGGAAATCTGAATACCAAATCTTCACCCTGAGCTGCTGCATTTATCTTTAATGATGCAGAAGAATTCCTTTTCATTATGTTTCATGATAAGATATATTAGCCATGAGAGCTAATGTGTTGCTGTCAGCTTACTTTAGCTAAATTCCTCCAGTGTGATTCAAACAGCTCTGTATTGCGCGCGCACACACACACACACGCACACACACACTTCCCCCAGTCTCTAACTTGCTCCCCCTCCCTCTTTGCCTCTTTCAGCTCACTGAACTGAGTGAAATGTCTTTCCAACTAAATGATTTTTTTTTTTTTTTTGCACTGTGGGAACGTTGCCATGGAGACAACAACCCCCACCCCCTTCAGCCCCTCCTTCTTGCACTTTTTTCTCTCAACAGTCTACAGCATTGGAGCTGTGCTTACTGGTGCGCCGTCACGTTTTGTGTGTGTGTGTGTGTGTGTGTGTGTGTGTGTGTGTGTGTGCGCGCGTGTGTGTGTGTGTGTGCATTTCACTCTTGTTGGACTGTTAACACAGTCGGTAGCTGCAGGTGCCCCTTGATGAGTGTGTCTATATACAGAGCCATCCTCCTCCACCTTCTGTTTCCACACACATACACACATCCTGCATGCAGCTATCCCCTCTCCTCTCCTCTCCAGGTTTTTCCCTTTCGTGTTCTCCTCCTCCTCTTCTTCCTCCTCCTCAATGGCGTTCTCCCTGCTCTTCATCCTCCTTCGTTTGTTTAATCCTCTCCTACTCCTCCTTTGCTGTCATTCCCCTGCACATCTGAACTCGGCCTCCCTCCTTTCTCTGCTCTCTGCTGAAGCGCGGGAGTTGCTGATTGCTGCTGGTGTTGTGCATTTTCTCTTTAAAGCAAGAAACTGGCCACATAACAAATGTGAATGTGAGTGTTTAAAAACTAAAAGACAGGGATGACAAAGACAGGAGGTGCAGGGAGGCCTGATGGAGAGATGCGCACTCAGAGGGGCAGGCCGCCTTGCTTCATTTTGCATTTAGGGAAAACGCGGCCACAATAAAGAATTCATGACAAAGTGGCTGAATAATTACACACAACTTAATGCACAGCAGAAAGTCAGAGAGCCTGGTGATGAAAAAAGAAGTTGAGGCTGTTTCTGTCCAGGTAAAGTGTCGTACCTTCCATGCCTGGGTTAAATATAGACTGTGTACATCTGAAATGCCCAGGGCTCTGCACTTTATATTTAGCACTCTGCCTGTGAAGTGTGACAGTAGCTTTAGCACCTCCTCTGCCTCCCAACTCTGTACTGGATTAAAAGAATTCAGAGACACAAAGCTGGATGATACATATCCTTTATTTCCTTTGTCATTGCTTCAGCCACACTGTTACTTACACATTCACCAAAATCCTGCTGTCCTGACTGAACCCCTCACTCACATTTCTCAGCTTCAACCAATAAAAAAGTAAACCTCTTGAATAAATTATATATAAAAAAAACAATTTAAAAGAATACCGATTCAAGAAAGATAAATACAGCATAAACAATGTTATTTCATCATCGTTGTTTTTGACCACAGAGATAAACAATTGCTAGGTCTCCATTTAGTCATCATTAGTAGTATTAGTATCAAGTTCATTGTCAGATTTTTGCTTAAAGCATCACTTATATAATTTTTCATTGCATCAAGTTGACATCATTCATGTTAATATAAGCATGCAAACATGTTTCCCCATGACCATTCAGAACTGCACTAACACGAGAAGACAGCGAGAGAGAATAGAGAGAGGGGGGAAAACGGGTCTTCATACACAGAAAGAAAGAAAGAGGGCAAGATGGAGGGATGGGAGATAGTGGAGGGAGCAGGAAGGAAAATATAGAGCAAGGAATGGAAAGGTGAGAGAGACGGGGGGAGGGGAAGGAAAGGTAGGGGTTGCTGGAGGAGAGAATGAGTAATCAGACGGTAATCAGACGGAGAGAAACAGAGGGGAGGAAAAGACTGAGGGAAAAGAGGAATGAAGGAATGCACTGATTCAACAACCAGTTTTGTAATCCGTCACCAGGCAGTAACAAGAGGGCTAAATAAGGTAGACACAAGCAGAGAGAGGGAGAGGGGCACAGTTGTGAGGCCTCTATGTCAATGGATCAATACTTCATCTGTGTTTGCTGTTTTTACCAGATTCGCATGGCAGCGATTTCCCTCTTATGTCTCGTTCACAACAGGAAGGTAAAATGCTGTTAGAGTGTCATACTGCTGTGTCTGAAGTCATTTAAAGCTCCCATGAGGAGTTTATAGCTGGCAAGGAAACAAACAGAATGTAATACTGATAGCCTTACATGACCCACAAAAGCAAGCCAGACCAATTGGTGCATGATGGATGATATATAAATGGTTATATTTGATGCTTGTTACTGCTGCCAGAGGGGTAGGCGTCAAACATGGTGAGTCACAGAAAGCTGCAGACAGAGCGTTTGTTAACATTTTCCAGAAAAAGACTCAGTGAGTAACTACTTTAAGACAGCAGAGTGAGACTTTGTCAAAAGCAGTTCTCAAAAGTTGCAAATTTACAGGATAAAATCTGAAAAGAGATTAAAATTAATGCTTTTGTCCTCAGGGGAAGCAAAAATGCCTCATAGGAGCTTCAAGTCAGGGGGATTAAACAATTATCTTACAACAGCTTAGAAAATCCAGATGGACACAAGGCAGTGTTTCATATCAAAGCAGCATGTTTTATCATCTATGAGCTTTTCTCAGGCCTTAACTAGCATTTATATGTAACCACCGACTAAAAAACATTAGCAACAGCCAAAAAGCTAATATCAAAGCAAATATATTTATTTCTAAGGGTTATACAAGCTAATATAGAAATGGAGAACATTCCTAGCTAACAAAATGTTAGCTTTTGTTAGCTTAAATTAACCTGTATAATGCTAGCTAGGACAGTAGCCCAGAGTTATGAAATACATTGTCTCATAATGATAAATGGAAGTGGTCGACCAATAAAGGGTTTTCTGCTGCCGATACTGATGCCAATATTTACAGAGCAGGTCAGTCAATAGCCATTGTATAAAGCTAATATCATATTGCTGTTATTATGCTGCCTTTTATAAAATATGACAATTTAATGATAATATTAACAGCCACATATTACAATCTAATATTCATGGTTATGTTTCAGAGGGATTTTGAGTTGATTCATAAAATGACAGAGAAGCTGTCAGAACATGATTTATTTATCTCATGGGCTTACATGTTAGTATTTAAGAGGATGTTGTTCTAGAGCAGCTATGTTTACGCAACTGCCTGCAGTGTCTGCAGACATCATCCATTCATTTTTTTTCATCACACATCATTATTTTAAAATGCAGTTAATCAGCCCAGTTAATCGACCTATCTCCAGTATATGGCTCATAGTATCTCTGGAATTTCCATGTCCAGTAAAAATGCATTGAAATAACACTAGTAAGATACCCTGAATTTGTGTGATGTACGGCAGCCTGAAATACAGCAGCATGAGATTAAAACAGCTGCCCACCCTGAGTGTGACATCAAAGGGAAATGGGCGCCGTGTGAATATGGCGAACAGCCCACAGCTGACAAAACTCACAGAGGGTTCGATGCAGGATATGCAACCTCCTGTATTCCCTTATCAAACGCACCTCAATGTCTCCCAGCACTTTCATGATCCAAAGGCAAAAAGGCAGAAACCAGATCCCTCCACTGAAACACACACACACATTTCTCCATATCTGTTTGTGTGTGTGTGTGTGTGTGAGTAGGAGAGAGAAACAGCAACGATGGCAGTACAAATAGATGTGGTGAGGTGTTGTACTGTTGTTTTGCTGAGGTTACAGCAGTAGTAGTGGTAGTGGCGGTGACAGACATGACTTTATAAGTCTGTATCAGCTTACACAGGAAGTGCAGAAAATTCCAGACGCTTGTTTTTCTCACAACACCTCCTCCCTGCTGTCTTGCTCTGAGGGGGATCTAAATTTGTCCTGATAAGAAATGAGCCTTGAATGTTCTCTTTTTCATCTTCTTTGTTTGTTTTCCTCATCTTGTAAATTGAATTTGAAACACACCCAACAGTAAAATTTCAATCACTGTGCCATCTGTTTTTACCCTTGGACAAACGGTACACAAATTACTGAAAGAATTACACGATCAACACAGTTACTGACGTCAGGCAAAGGGTTAGAAAGGAGGAGAGGGGTTGGATGATTGGCAGCTGATTTCAGAGACGACAGAGACAGTACAAACTAATGTCTATGAAAGACGGTGTTTCCCCACCTAGTGCAATGAGGCACATAAAGTACACACACACACACACACTATCTTTCTCTACACACACACACTAACACACACACACGCGCGCGCACAAACACACAAGATGGCTCCTTGTAAATACATGAGACAGAAGACACGTTTGGCTCTGAGACAAGCATTTCAGTCTGTGGATGCCAGGGCTGGTTTGAGGGAAGTGAGGGAGGTGAAGACAGAAAAAAAGAAAAAAGGACTAGAGGGGAGTGTCACACACAAGGTCACAGTGACACACACACACACACACACACACAGGCATACACACGTACACACAGAAACGCACAAATACAAAACAAACACACCCACAAACACGGAAATAACACACACTGATAAAAGCAACACAGATGTGTGTCCTTCTGGAGTCTTGTCAGAGACATGATGTGGTTATTTTTTCACATGTAGCTGGACGGCAACTTCTTGAGAAAAGAAAAGACAGAAAGTCCTGGAATGATAGAAAAATAAAACAGAGTGGTGATATCCTTCCCTGTGGAATATATCCTCCAGCAAGTGCAATCCAAACAGATGCTGGTCCGATCCCAAACACGGGTTTTATTTAACCTGTGTAGTCCCGTGTGAGGAAAAAGTCTTTCAGTTTGACTACCACGCCTCTCAGAAGCTCACTCGACGTATCCTCGGTGGACAGTCATGATTGGCATCAATAAACTCCTTTCCTGATGATTAAATGTGTATTATTGCACACACAAAAATAATCCCAAAACAAACATGAGCACCATGAGGACAGTGACAAAAAGCATGAGGAAGAGGGACACATTTCAAGGATGCGTAACATGCTTAAACCAATGAGTCTGTCCCCATTTTCACTCCTCTGACATCAATAAAGACGCTTTATTGTCTTTCCTCTGGGGAAAAGTAAGCGAGTTCAGTCTAAAACAAGACAGGTACAGAGCCTGCAGAAGGCATCCAAAATGGCAGAAGAGAATCCATCTCGGATGTTTTGTCCTGCTAAGTACTACATAAGATGTATTCCCATACAGTACGGCACATACTGTACACCAATGTTGCAAAGAAAAATATCGACATAGTGATTTTCTTCTTTTAAAGTCTGTACAAGGGCATGAACCTTTGGTCCTGGTTGGTTGGATGACCATTCTGGGATGGCTTCTTTTTTTCTTTTTTGTTTTGTTTTAAGAGAGAAAACAGTTTGTCACATCACACTCCTTCTAGATGAATACTACTCTAACCCAAAGCACACATGAACTATGCACACACTACAAACTCTGTGTGTATTCCTGCGTGTGTGTGTGTGTGTGTGTGTGTGTGTATGTGTGTGTGTGTGTCCCTTGTTAAATGTGTGTGTCCCTTGTTAAATCCAAAATTTACACCTGAAATCAATCCAACTGTACCACTGAGTGTGTGCATGTGTTTCTAAATGTGTAGCTCGTGATGGATGTCGTTGAATGTTTTTCCTCCGGCTCAGTAAAGACAGCACAGGAGGATTCTTCAGCAGGAGCAAAACAGCACTAGCAGTCGGACACTTGCAGTGTCTCCGTGTCTCTCTTTCTTTGATGGAGAGAATTATTCACAGATGAAAGGGAGGAAAGGAAAGTCTGGAGTTGGAGAGATGATAATGACCTGAGGACAGAGAGAGAATAAGGGAAAAGAGGCAGATTAAGCAGGAGAGAGACAGTCAGGGGGTAAGAGAATATATAAACAGTATGCAGCAGTACTGTAAGACTGGATGGAGGAGGGGGAGATGCATTACATAACCCATAACATCAAGATTATACAGATGCTTCTGCCTCAGAGCTCCGACATATGACAGCTCTACAGCCTCCACTTTATCTCACACTCACAGTTAAGTCATGCTTTTAAAGATTCCATGAGTTCACCCGAGTAAATCTGACAGGAGAGCATCTGCTGCATCGTCCGAGGATTTAAACATTAAGGTAGCTGTGCAGGCTGCTCCGCTTACAAGTAGAATCAAGGAGATATGTGTGAAATCGTAAAAAAAAAAAAACTGCATACTCTGTTGTCCTGAAAATAATCTTACAAATGTGTAAGCGTGCTGATAACTCACAGTAGACTCACAGTTTTAATCAGAGTGAGGACTGTCCACCACGATATGCGGCTTAGGCGAGGATGCTGAAGTACCCTTCGACACAAATGTACCAATTGCTTTCTCCTGCAGGGGGAAAGAGATTTTTTTTTCTTCTATTAATTCTTTATGACAAAGGAGATACATCTTATGAATTCAGTTAGATTAATGAAACTTAAACCTGCTGCAGATTACTTTAACCACAGGCATAATAACTACTGCCAAGCCAAAGTAATATTACAGCTATTTTTAGCATTACTGCCACACCAACAGGGTTAAAAGCAGCTCAGTTCCCTACAACAACCAAATAAAAGTCGAAATGAATAAGTTCCAGATGAAAGCTGCACCAGGTTCCTTTTACCATCTCTTGCATTGTCAAGTTTGTCCTTCAGTGATTTTCTGTCGCTAATATATGTTTATACAACGAAAAGTAAAGAACTTGGACAAAGCAAAATGTTCAAATGCTAACTGTGCAACTTTAAGCTGCACAATATTGCAAAACAGCTGTGTCACAGAGTAGTGAAACCTTAAAGAGGAGGTATACACATTTTTACAGACTCTATACTTCCTTACTGATTCCTCTTATATATCTTCAGATGTTTTTCAGATAAAAAAAAACGCAAATTTCTCACAGTGCTGTATTAAAACACTTCATTTTAGCTGCTGTGACCACAGAGTGGTGCAGTTTTGGTCTTAGTTTCTGTAATCATGATGATGTATGATGTATTTCATAGAGCAGAACTCATTTCCACACAAGGAAGAAAATTTGAAGCTCCTGTGAGGGCAATGTCTTCATCTGCTTCACTGACACCTACCCCCTCACACACGTTTCAGGAATTCAAAAGATACACTTAGGCCCTGATCTACTAAGATCCCAAATAAGGGGCACTAAGTTGCGTGTGCAAACTAAAAAATTGCACATGCTATTAGAGGGCGTCTTGCGGGTGATCTTCTTTGATTGTGTGCACAATTAATAACAGGTTCAAAAGTGGTGCAGACCACGGAGGATTTTGCATGCGCTATCAAGTTTGCACGTGCTTTTGTACATGCAAACCTTTAGTAGATCAGGCCCTTAAAGTATCACCAGTCTTGTTGCTTTTGTTATAGAAATGCATTGAAGTGAATTTCACTGTGTTTAATAAACGTCAAAAATTCCTCACAAGAGCTCTACGTTTTCACTCATCAGTATATACAGGCTGGTGAAATTTTGCTAAGATTTCCTTTATAGGTAAAAAAGAAAAGTTCTCATTCTTCTACACAGAAACCTACATACATAGCCAACACATTTTCTGCTGAATTTCTTTTCTATAAAAGCACGCTGGTTCAACAGCTGACTGAGGAATGCTCTTTATGAGATCTCTGAGTTGAGTTAAAAAACACTTTGAATATTCACACATTATACTTCAAAATTACAGATGAGAATCTCGTTTGTACTTGGAAGCAAAGCGTTTGCTATGCTAGCGATTTTTCCTTTCACTTATGAAAAGAGTATAATTACTTTTTTAAAGCAGGAACATTTTTAAATTTTATTTTAACTTTTGATATATAAGGTAATTAAAACTTGTTAAACATAATGGCCCATACACACCTAATCTTCATCATTTTTGAGATTTTACTTTAATACCAGACTAAAACTTGTGTTTTTTATTTCTTTAAAAGTATACTGTGCTCAAACTTCTATATGATACTACTGCGATCCTAATGCATCATTGATCCTGTTACTCCTCTGTTTAATGCTGATGATAATCCTCATTCGATAAAATCATTTAGGTTATCAGCCCCTGACAGAAGAAGAGCGCATAACATATGTGGCATGAGATAAGCTCAGGGTACACATGAACACACATGATCACACGCTCATTACCTCCACAAGCTGATGCCAGTGCTCTATTGGTTTGCGTGGATTGGCCAGCATGGCTGCCCAGTGCTCTCTCCCTGGACCTTCAGCATCGCTGCCCACACGACACATCCCTATAACCTCGTTATGACCGATACTGACAAGCAGAGAGGAATGGAGGCAGGGATGAGAGAGAGCGGGAGGAGAGAAAGAGAGAGAGAGAGAGAGAGAGAGAGTAGAAAGGGGAGGTGGGGGTTGAGAAAAAAAGGGTGAGTGAGGATATTTTAAAGCCCGGAGAGAAAGAGAGACAGGGCTTGTAAGAAACAGGCAGAGAGAATCTCATTTATCAACCTTGAGGACTGGGAAGGGAGTACAGCGGCTGAGGAAGGATATTGAATAGCAGCTCACAAATACACACAGCCTTGCATAAAAGGTTGATGTCAGCAGAGAGCAGGCACAAGCACAAACATACAAAAGCACACACCTATGGAGATGCCAAATGGAGGGCAGACTACATAATAGGGAGGCGGTGCATCTATACACAAACACATCAACCAGCCAAGTGTTGCTGCGTGCTGCAGACAGAAAAACACTGTCTGGGTTATACTTCTTCTCCTCCAGCATTAGCATAAATCATGCTTATTCATGAGGTGCCTGCCTGTCAGTGTAAAACAGGGAGTGTCCACCGAGAGGCTGACCTGTGAAGGGGGGGGGGGGGGGGTCCTGGTTGTGTTCTACACAGCTGCAACACCATTGAGATGTGACAACCAGAAAGCAACAGCAAACATCACACCGCATGTGCAAGCAGGCATTCAGCGAGCAGCACGCTTCACAGTAATTATCAGTTTTATCAACTCCACAACAACACCTTGCCTCGCTCACCAGTCATAGTCCATCACAGCAATGACGATGGAGACGCTTTCAATATTTTCATTGGGAATGTCAAACACCAGCGCCTCATTGTATGTGGGGTTCAGCGTGTTCTTCTTAATGGATGTCTTCCTCTTTTTTAGCCTTCGCCCGTCACAGATCAGCGAGGCCTTCACGTACGGGTCTGAGGAGGAGATGAGAAGAGAGAGCAAGGGAAAGAAAAGGGGCATGGGGGGAAGCGATGGAGGTGGGGGGTGAAGACAAAAAAGAGAACAACAGAGAGAGAAGGCAAAAAAGAGGAAGAAACAGAGAGAGAAAGGTAAGTGGGGCCTCTCGCGAAGGCTGCTGGGTAGTATTTCTCACAGCTATCCTCGTCTGTAACACATAAAAAGCATGAAAATCAAGTCACCTTGGCAAAGCTGGATTAAGCACACAAAGGGAGAAAAGCAGCACAGGTTGAATCACTTCAGTTATCCATTCAACATGTGCAGCAAGGTGACAGCCGCCAGGGAAAACACACACACACGCACACACACACACACACACACACACACACAGATTCATTTTCATGCTGCGTTTTTGAAGCATCTTTCTGCACTGCAATCATCTTAAAACCGCTCTGGCAACAATTACGGCAGGTGATAATTATCATCAGTAATTTCATCCAGTCTGGGCGGGCATTGCTTCTAATCTTCAGGTCTTCAAGTGAAGATGAGGGATTGGTTTCAGTCTAAGCAGCAGCTACATTTGTCCATATCACTTTCCAACAGTGAAAGTTTGGCTGATTTAGTTGTAATTGTTGCCACATCTGGAGCCCAACAACACACTGCAACAAATTCTTCACTTACTAGCTTCAGGTTATATATATTTATAATGTACTAAGTAACTCTACTCCCTGAAGGAAAAACATCCACCCTCGGATTCTCTTTCACAGCTAGAAGCAATCAATCTGCCTGATAAACTTCAGAAATTATGCTGCTAAGATTTATGGTTATTTACTTTTTGGTACTCTATGCTTCAACTTGTTCAATGTCAGTGATTTATTAGGTTTTGAAAATGTGGCTCTGTTCATGTTTTTGGTACAAACTTGTCAGTTTTGCTTAAAGGAAAAGGAAACAAACGAAAATGACAAAAGAAAAACAAGAGATTTCTACAGCACCCAGAATTAGTCAAGATGAAAAAAACATGAAATGCTCAGTCTTTAGTTTGACGAAGCAAGTCTTCATTGTGAGATAAATGAGACAATTTCTGACAGTCAAACAAAAATAATGAGATTAAAAAGTTAAGATTACCAGATAAAAATATTTAAAGTTCCTATGGAGAACTCTCACTTTGTTTCAATGTGACACCTCTTTTGTTCTTTGTTTATCGTGTCCTCTTTATGTTTAAGCAGAATCCTTCCTCAAAAAATCAAACGTATTATTATCTGTGACTATTTCATACGTAGATTATAAAACCAGCTGTTTCCTTAGGTGCATGTATGATATCTACCCCTTGATAATTACAACATGACAATCATCAGTCTTGACACTGATGGTTTTTTAAGCTTTAAAATATAATTTTAAAAAAATTCAGTCTTTTTCACAGATGCAAAAAAAAACTCTCACAGGAGCAAAGAGTTAAGATTTAACACTGTTGTAATTTCACCCACTTATGCTTTCCTTTCCCTAAACTTTGACCTTGTATCTCATAATTAAGATTTTATAATTGTTAATACTTTTTTAATTTCTTCTTTTTGTCTTATGAATCATACATTAAATTTGGACTTTTTATCTTATGATTATCACAATTGGACTGTCTCATAAATAGAAAATTACTTGCTCATTATTATGACTGAATTCCTCACAATTTTGACTTTTATTTTGAATGTTATTTTATTTTATGATTTTATTTTTCCTATCTTTTTATGCGATGGTTCAGGCATTTATTCCCAATAATAATAATTAATTTATAATTCCGTCTTCTCCCCCAATAATCCTTATCTCATAATTTTGACAGCTTTTATCTCTTTTTCCCCCTTTTATTTCATAATTATCTCTCTTTATCATTGCACTGTGACTTAAAACAGTTACGTGATGTCTAAGCTTGTCCATATTTTGTAATTTTTGTATTAATCCATATTAAATATTTGTACAAAGAAGACAAAGTCTAACATAGTCAACTTCCCTGTATGAGTAACATAGCTGGCCAATTAAGCTGATTCAGATTCCAAGCATGGCTTTTCAACTATTCCATTGTTTAGTCATTACCAATCATTTAAACCTTATAACAATGACTTAACATTTGAGACCCTTTTTTCAATGAGTCTCTGTTTGGTTTTGTTTATTTACTGCAGGAAATGGGCTTTCATTGTATTTACATTCAAACTAAATGCAGCACTACCTATCTTGCAACTGCATTGCACTGTGGTGAAATGGTGCTATTGTTGATGAGGTAAACTTTTTTTTTAATTTTTTGTGCTATGTGGCATAAAAATGACTCATTTTGCAAGAAACTGTCCCCATGCTTCTGTTTTGCAGTGCGATTGGTAAGTCCTGAATTATAGTGGGAAATAAAACTAAAGGGTCCAAAACAGTAACATAAATCACCAGGAGCTGTTTTTGGGGTTCTTATCTGAGCTGCTTTCTGTGATACTTTATTCTTGAAAGACTTTTCAGACACACCCTTTTTTCTGTGTGTGTGTGTGTGTGTGTGTGTGTGTGTGTGTGTGTGTGTGTGTGTGTGTGTGTGTGTGTGTGGAGTGTGGGGGGGGGGGGGGGGGGTAATGCTTTACCTGAGAAACCAGTGAGGTCCATGGCTTTGAGGTTGGTGGCCTTGATGACTGTTGCGGTGAGCCTGCCAGCAGTTGGCAGGTAACACAGCGAGAAATTAAGCTCCCCAAGATCAGCCTTCTCCTGTAGGTCATACACACACACACACACACACACACACACACACACACACACACACACACACACACACACACACACACACACACACACACACACACACACACACACACACACACACAGGGATCAGAAACAGAGCCGGGACACTGTGAGTCAGATAGGAGAAACACTATCAGACACATATCCTCTGGTTTGATGGTCTATGGCTGGAAAAAGAGCCACATCTGTGAGTGACGGCGGTGACAGCCGATGTCCTAATGTGGATGGGCAGAGTGTTGAGGCGCAGAGGAAGTGCCGTCACAGTAAATGAATCATATGCCAATCCGTCCGTGTCCATATCTGTGAGTGGAGGAAGTGTTAAGAAGAGGTGATGATTCTTCAGGCTTTTTATATCTCCCAATACACTGATCTGCTCTTTGTGTCTGTGGTCTCAGTGTAATGACACCACTGATATTCAGGTCACACAGTGGCCTGATGACTCCTTAGTGCCTTTGAGCCTCGCTAATCAATACTTCCCCAAGTGAAACAGTGCAATAACGCCAAGAGGCTAATGCTTTAAACTTATTTAATAAATGAAATATCCATGCCAAATTTTTTAAGACTTTGCTCTGACTAATTTGCTAATAGCACTCTATGAATATTTCATATAAATCTACTTGGACACAGTGCAATAAAAAGTTTAGATGTGGGCAGCAGTGCCCTTCCAGTAATCTATCCAGACTCTCCTCTGCTGCGTTCTTACATTAACTGACTCTGAATCAATCTGTGCTGCAGAGAAATACCCATGACATTCTGTACATCCTTTCCATACATTATGAGTTTATGGTCTTTAAATGACAGACGATTATGCACTGGTCTTTTTTCATTCTCCTGTAAGGTTGCTATGACCGTCCTTGGTAGCCTGTTAGAATGTTTTATTTTCAACCTGTGTCTGACTGTAAAAAAAAAAAAAATCTAACTTAGCTTTTCCATGATTAAAGTAGTTGCAGTTTCTGAATTTGCACATGCCTTTAAATGAACTTGAAACTTTAAAGCTCCTGTAAGGAGTTTTGGCTGGTTTTCAATGACTACTGATGCTTCTGTATGACCTACAAAAGCTAAACACTACTGTCAACGAGAGGATTATTTCAGTTATTTTAGATGCTTGTAAACTATGATGCTGTAAATGCCAGAGGGGTAAAGAACAGCATGATTCCAAAACAGCCTTCTATTTACATTTTTAGCAGGAGAGTTTGACAAACAAAATTTGGTAAAAAAAAACAAAAAAAAAACAACAACACAAATTTACATTGTGGGATAATATCAACAAAGAGATCAGAAGAACCATTCTGTCCGGGGGGCGCCAAAGTCAACATAAATAAATAGTTCCTCACAGGAGCTTTACATATAAAGGAGGGTAGATCACCCAGATAAATCCTGCATCTCGAAGTCAATTATATAAGCATTTTAATCTGATAAAAACACTGCTATTTGGACTTTTGCTTAGGTTTACAATCAACAAACTGTGTTAGCAAGAGGCTAACAGGATGTGTGTCAAATAATGAAAACACCACCACTTTTACATCTCTGTACCTATTTTTGTATGATAGGAAAGGTAAATCTTTGGTTTACATCCTCTCTTTGTCTGTCAAGGTTTCTTTTTTGTACCCCCAGCTCCTAGCAATGTATTTGTGCTACTTAACTCTGGGCTCAAAGCCAGTTTCAGTCTGATAGAGCATGTACATGAAAGACAGCCCCATCATCTAGGTATGTTAAAGTTAGATGTACTGTGATTTCAGTCAGACTAAGGCTATAAGTCCTTGTTTTTGAACAACATGCAAAGGTACTGAGTCTAACTTTGTTTTGAAAGGACACGCTGTGCCATCTACATTTGTTAAAAAACCAGTAAGTTCAATGTTATCAGAAGCCACCTTCAAACTGTAATTTATTAAAAAACACCCATTCTTATATAACACCCATCAATTTTTCTTGCTTTATAGCTTCAATTTAGATATTTTAGCATGAACTCAATGATAGTCGCTCAGTAATGTCTCTTGAGTCACGTGGGATGTTTCCTCCTGAGTCTATCTTATTTCTCATTGCGCTTGTCCGTAACTCCACTCAGATTGAATCTGCAGACTAATCAAAGGTGACCATCTCCTCCATTTTTTCATCCTTACCGCTGTGCCCTCCACAATGTCCCTCCACACAGGTTTGTCCCCGCTGCCCTCGCTGAAGTCTAGCAGGTTGTCCACCACGACCTGGCCAATCAGGTCGTGTCTGGAGAAGCGGTCAAAGTCGTACACGGAGAAATGCAGCTTCCTGGAATGTAGCTCATTAAGCGGGACGCCGAACTGAAAGGTTTCGTTGAACACGGGGTTTAAGGTCTTTCTGTGAACCTGAGGGAGAGACACACACACATTAGAGTTTACTATCACACTGCAGCCCACATTTTACAGTGTCATTACTCAGTACATGTGTGTACCTATAAATGACTAACCGGGTGGGTACATGGGAGTAAGAGCAACCATCCTTTACAGCAAACACACTCTGTAATGTCACTGTGATAAAATGAAAGAGGGTTAACTAGGGAGTTCTTTCTTTTACAGCCTACATACCCCAGGCTTTAAACTGTAATGGATGAAAAAAGAAAATACTTTGTCCTGAAGGTTTAGTACTGTGACTGAAAGAAATCCACATGACCTCAACTGAAAACTACTCAGGCATGCTTTTGGTAGAAATCAGAAATATGGTAAGATATATGATTTAGTTCTTCACACTATAAAACCGAAGAGTTTGTAAATAAATGTAGTTGCATTTGGCTCTTTGAATCATTTCCTCATCATCATTTCAAACACTGTTATAAACATGAAATCAATGACGCTGATTAATTCTGGCATTGAAACACCATTAAAGGCAGAAAGAGTGCCCCCCAGCCTAGACAGTAGGGCTGCACGATTAATCGATTTTAAAACTTAATCGGATTATTTGATTGTGACGATGTTAAAAAATGTAAAAATTTAAAAACGATTTTCCTCTCCATCATGTCTCCTGCCTCCAGGCCACCATAGGCTCCCCCTTTCTGCAAGAGCACTCCCAAGTTCCCACACATACCAGTGTAAACAAAGATGGCGTTTGCAAAAGAAGGCGATAATTTCGTGGCTAAATAGGGAGAGAGCAAGTCAGTCGTGTGGAATTGGTATGGCTTGGCAGTTTTGGACAAAGAGCAAAGCACTCTCTGCTGTCTGAAGACAATGTCATCCCGTCCATGTGGAAATAAATTCAGGAGTAAACGCAAAAGATTTTTGTCATTTTGGCGTTTCATCTGCATGGACATGGCGTTTTGGGTACTTTTTGAAAATGGGTACGAGAGTACACAAATCCATAAATGACGACCATTTCATCTCTGTGTGGATGTCTATCTGCATCTCTCTCAAAACGATTATGTGACACACAGCGTAACTCTTTTTTATGGCGCCTGTGCGTGTCTGGCCAAAACAACCAAAGGCGAGGAGAGGAGCTTATGTGATTGGTCAATACAGGTCTCGGCTGTGTTAAACCCACTCCCTGCCCTCTCTCCTCCCTCCTTACGACTTACACCGCTGGGAGGAGCTGAGTTAGGGAGGGGGGATACTTATGCCGGGCTGCGCCGCTCATCAAAATACCAAATTGTGCTTGGGAACGCCTTGTCGGCGCGGCGGACCTGACTTACACTGCGTATACACCGCGTTGCCAGCGAGACACGAGAATAGAGCCCATAGAGCTGTTAAAGTGACGGTGCTTCCATCATTTGAAAAAATCCTGTTAGCCTCTTGTCAGTTATTTCGTGTGCGATGTAACACGTCAACTGGGAGACAGCTCAATAATTACGGGCTGAAAAGGAGCATGTCACCACCTACTGTAGCGTTGCGGACATGCTTCTGTCAGTAATTTGATTCTTGCCTGTTCAGTTCAGTTCCCCAATCTAGCTACATGATTTAGTTTAGTTTGATTTAGCTGCTTTTGTAAGCGTATTAGCTGATTTAATCATAGCAAAGGCCATTTTCCTCCATTCATTCAAGTTTGTGAGCATTAAATCCTTAGATTAATTCAAAGTGTTACAAGCATTATGCTCAAGCTCAAACAGGATCACCACCATTTTAAACAACCAGCGTCTCTCACCCAAATGAGTCAAAACATGGAAAGAGTTCTTGCAAATGTATCCTATTTTATGTTTTATTTTAATGTTACCATAAACTAATCAGATATTTCTGTAATGAAAAAATAAAGGTATTTGAGAGACAGATATACAGCTGGGAATAATATATTTTAAAAAATTAGCTAGTTTCAGTGAGTTTTGCATAATTTCTTTGAACATCTTCATGTTTGTCTTGTAAACTAAATTTTGTTTGATACATTTTTTTACACAACACAGGCATATCTCTCGGTCCAAATGTGCATCAAATAGACAGTAGAGAAATTAAAGATAAAGACAGCATAGAAACCAAATACATGATAACACACATGAACAAAAAAGCTGTCCATTTGTCAATAAATATGTTTAATATTTGGGCAAAGATCTGGGTGATTATTCAGAGTTCAAAGTAGAGGAAATACTGAATGAAGAAAAAGAAATGTTCATACAGTGCCTGAGACAAACATTGACATTTTTCCTATAACATCAGTTTTGGTTACTAGATGGAGTCCACATAGGACTATATATCTACATTTTTGGTACCCTTCATTTTATAACTAAGTTAAAGGAGAAGGAAAAACACTTTTTTCTATTGAGGTCTCAATACTGAAGCCCAGGCCAGTCTGTTTTCTTCACCTATTTTTCAAAAACAAATCCTTAATTTCTCTTGCACTAACAAATCTTTCAGCACAGTACCCAAAATTATAAAATAAATGTACTGTATTGTCTGGAAGGTTATATAGTCATTTATTTGCTTAAATCTTGGACTAATTCATATCCTGGCTGAGCCCACCTAAGAGTGTTTAGTGTATCTGTCATTTTTACATCGAAGACTCTTGCATTAAAGATTCTATTCCAGGCACAGACACAACTCAAGGTTTACTCAAACATAAAATCCAAGCCAGATTTGAAAAAGCCAGCCGCTTGTCTGACAACACTTTATGCTGTTTTGAAGACGTGTCCAGAATCCTCAAAGAGTCTGGTGTTTTGCTGCTATGAAAGATATTCTATGCACTGCACAGTAAAGTACATTTTTCTACCTGCTTTACAGAGAGCTCTTGTGTTTCTCTAACCAAACAAAAATGGATTTAGTTTTTTAGAAAACAAAGTGAATTTTGCCTTGTTGCTTTTATTCTGATTGTAAGAGAATTTAAAAAATGACAAAAAAGGGAATAAGGTGTTTGGTCAGGAATGAAAGTGGCTCCAAAATAGAGCTAAATTTAGAACATTTAAAAGTTTCTTTCTTTTTCTTTTTTTGATAAAAAAGATCCTCAGTCTTTCTGTCTTTAGTCACACCTTTCATTGCTGTGATGTTTTTGTACTCATTCTCTGCAGTGGTGTTTTCTTCTGTTGTCTTCTGCATCTGCAAACTAATTTCTTCTTTTAAACCCAAAACAAACTGGAAACATGAAAGACGCCATTTCTTTTGAATCAAAGGTTTCTCTCTCCCTCACAGAACAGCTTTGACGAACAGACATAGCAGGAATCAAATTGGGTCGACATTATTCCGCGTAAATGTCATGCCTTTAAGCATTCCCACAAAAAAAAAGACATATGAAGACGGATTTGATAAACCGTGTGGAGTTGGCGACACATCCTTAATCAGCATAATTAACCCTGAAGCACTCAGGTCGACTATGTTGTTTCCCCAGAGGGGGAAAAGCAAGTTTCACCTTTCTTACGGGAGGCGGAATCAAATCAACCCTGTAGATTTTAAACAAAGACCTACATCTCATTATTCTAACAAAAAGCAGGATTTATGCTTTTTTTGTGCATTTCATGTGTGTAAATGTGCTTTACTTCTACTTTTACTGTGTGTCATGTTGTCTGCCTTTTCCAGCTCTGCCAGCTCCACAGCAAAAAAAATCAAACAGATTATTATAAATCAGAAAAAGCACTCTGATAAAAAGCAAGCCATAATTCCTGTTCATCACATTTGAACTCAATGACAAACCTTTTTTTTGCCATGAACCCCAGAAAAACACAGTTTTTTACGTTCTGTTGATTCACCACTGCGATTTAATTGCATTCAATATAAACTCTGTCATGCAATAAAGCCTGTAATAATCCAAATGTGACACACACTCAGTTTTCCAACTCTGACTTTTGCCACTGCATGAGTGGGTCTGTCACACTGGCTTATTAGCACTTGATGATTACTTGTTAGCTTTGGATTAAAACACAGCTGACAGAAACACTTTGGTACCCAAAAAACACAAGGAGTGAGACGGCCTCTCAAATAGGTGATATCTGCTAGAGGAATGAAAGCAGCACAATGCGAGCGCTGTAAAAATCCCACGTTAATGAGAATGTGATCAAAATTAAAAAATTATCTACACTTTGAACAAAAAAGGAGCGGTATTATGCAGATGATTGATGCATTCACGCTTTTCAGTGACTGAAGAGGCTTTTGTGGAGACAGCAGACAGTCACACAAAAGAGGAGGAAACCAAAAGGGAGCGATTTCAAATGGTGAACAAAAAGTACCTGTGATATTTATGGAGAAAAAACAGAGAACTACAACTCCCATTTGTGAAGCCACTGAGCTCAGAGGCCTTGAGGTTTTTCCACAGAGACTAAATTTGAAGACAGGCGGATTTTTGAAGGGCCAAGGGTAAATTTTCCTGGAACAGAACATCCCGAAACGACCCTTAAATATTGACTCAACTGTCCTCAAACAGCAGAATAACACACAGGAGCAGAGACGTGGTGCTCTGTGATTGTCTAAAGCATATTATCTTGAATAAATTATGCCCCAGATTAGATGAGATTACATAATTGAAACTGTAATGATTTCCCCTGAGAGGACAGGAAACAGGCTGAGAGAAAACTATTGTCGTTCCAACAACATTAACACTTCACTGATGGCTCACTGAGGTGTGTTTGTGGGTGGTGGGATGGAAGGTTTACCTTAGTCTGGAATTTCTTCTTCCTGTCTGGCAGTAGGTAGATCTTCACGTACGGGTCGGAGAAGCCGTTGGCATCCTTTGCAGGCAGGTCCAGGGCTTTCAGGATCTTCACCACCAGCTGCTCCGTACTAACACACACAACACATCAAACCCCATTAGACTTTCACATGCTGAAAAAAAATAGGCTTTAAAGGCCGGGGTCATGCAAATTTACACTAACACCCTCCCAGACCCAGACAGGTTCAGCCCACAGACACACAGACACACAGACACACACACACACACACACAAAAAAAAGCACACACCTTTGCAGGCTTTGTGCACACATAATAGCGTGGGAGGTGCTGTGTCTCTGAAGCAAGGAAGAGCCAAAATAGCATGTGTGTGAGTGCTGGTGGTATGGTGAGTGTGTCATCCCTGCAGCTGTTTCATGGTTGCAGTATCAGCGATGCTAAGTGTAAGCACAGTACGCACAGATGTACAAAGTCTGGTCAGAGCTGAGCTCATGAATAATCCTGAACACAGCACTCTTCATTTTCACTGGCTTTGTGCAACATACAGAGGTTTTGATGCAAAAGTACCACAAACAAAATCTGTAACAAGTAACCTAAATTATGGGCTGGATGACCTTTCCTCAGAAAACCCTCGACCTTCAGTGTCATCAGCACCAAGCAGAAATCTTTTATATATATGCTACATTGAAAAAACATTTAACTGAATTAACTGAGTTAAATGTATTTATTTGAACAATTTCAGGGAGAAGCTTTTCCAAAAATAGACTTCTATGTTTTTATTCTCCCTGGATCCAACACACTCAGCCATTGTCCAATTGTAACACAGAATTACTGTTATCCACAGAAAAACAACCGACACATGAGTATGACCAGGTAGCTAGAGGGTGAGTATGTGCTGAGTGCAGGACCATCTCTATGTACTAAAACAATAAGGCTATGTATTGAAAAAGGTCCCTGTTTACAACTTTATAATACTAAAACTATTAAGCTCTACATCTAAAGAAAAAAGGCCATAACAAATTTATGACTAAGCACTTTCTGAGGAACCGTTGTGTATGAGACCTAACATTGTAATTACATTAGGGAAGTCTTTATCTGGAGGGATCAAGAGTGACACCATCAAAAACTAAGGGTTTGTAACTTGCATGTAGAAAAAGGGGCCAACCCACGGTCATAGGAGTGAGTGAACGCCTACCAAAATGTGCGATAAAGGAAGGAGGTTTTCTTTGTTAACTCAGTCTGGATTCTGCAGAATTCATGCTCACTGAATTTGTTCATTTGCATGTTAAATTAAGTTCCTTTGATGCAACTTGGACAGACTCATCTCCTGATTTTAATCAACACACTTCTCTTTAAGAAGACTCAATGCTTGAAATCATTCAGAGGACCAGGACCAAGATAACAGTGTTCAGTGCAGTAGCCTAAGGCCAGGCCAGGCCCTCCTTGGGGACATCTTTAGCCTGGCAGCATTCACCAAATTGAGACACGTTACCTTCTTAAATCTTGATGAGTTTTGAGCTGGATATAAACAGACTGAAATCATCACTGATCCCTCTCCCTGACCCACAAATGCGAACAAAACCAGCAGCGACAAAATGAATTACCTGTAGTTATTTTTGATGCTTGTAAAAACTGCCAAAAGGTAGGCATCAGACGAAATGAGTCACAGCGTGCTGCAGGAACAGCCCCTGTTTACATTTTCCACACTGAGTGATATCTTTTACTTTTTCGGGAGATGAGGGTTTCAAGATAAGGTTTTTCATTTGGAATAAACTTACAGCAAATAAACAGCACAAGATCGTCCATGAGGTTGGAGTTACTGCTTTGCCCTCAGGAGGCGGCAAAATTGACACAATCCAAAAAATTCCTCACAAAAGCTTAACAACTAATTGTGAACACATGTTTAGCTCCTATACATGCATTTAAATAAAACACTGAATACTGATTTACCCTGATATATCAACAAGTCTTTTGAAAATAGTTTAAAAAAAAAAGTGGAAAAAAAGGAGATTTGACGGGGAATCTTGTTAGGTCTCAAATGATGGTAAGGATGTTCACAATTGTTTGTGAGGAGCCCAAAAAGAGAGATCTCTGTTTTCAGGTTAGCACTGTATATATGTGTAAAGTTGACAATTGTGAGCAACTTCTATAGAGATCTTACTATTTTTAAGTTCTGAGTAAAAGAATAATATTTAATGAATTTTCTTTTTTCTACATTTAAATTTCCAGGCAGCAAATAGTATAAAACACACTTCCATGCACATACTTAAAACACACACACACACACACACACACACACACACACACACACACACACACACACACACACACACACACACACACACACACACACACATATTTACATTAAAATACGCCATCTTAAGTCATGGCTGCAACTCAGGCGCCATTTATCATGTATTTAATTAGCAGATGAAGAAGAAGACAGCTCGGAGGCCTTTAATCAGACCTCATTAGACTGTGTCTCTGCCTGTTAACCAGCGTGTCAGCACTTCATTAGCTGCTGTATGAGAGCAGCATGAACTTTGGGGCAGAGGAAGGACACAGGGCAAATGCCAACAGTGACCCTGACAGTCATGGACAGATATACCGTCCATGTGTACCAATTACAAACAAGATACGCTTGTTGACAATACAACTGCAGCCAATCTCAACACATGTTTACCTCTGAATCACATCCAATTAAGTCAATTAGATAAACATGCCAACTCTGCAATCACACTGAATCAGGGAGATGATATACAGGGCAAATCACTGGAGGAAATTACATTTCCAGCTAGGCCAGATAAATATTTGCACAAGAAAACCCTGACCAATTCAAATATGCACCTAAGGACTGTAAATCCAGTTTGAATTTAAGACATGTTGGTGGAGACAGCAGTAAAGAGGTGTGAGGATTGAAAAAAATCCCGTATTATTCTGCATTTCCTGGCTTTGGTTCTTTCTGCCTCAGTCCCTGGGTTTTGCTTCATGTCACGTGTCTTGTTACAAAACAAGACGTGAGCTCAAACCCTAACCAAGGTTTTCACACAATCTGTGAGGCGTGCTGCAGAGAATATACCTATTACAGCTCGAGCAGGGAGTGAAATTCACGGCCTTATTCCTGGCAGACAATGCCCGAAAGCTAGCTGTTATTCCCACTGAGGAAATGTGTCAGCTTTTAATGGGATTGTCAATAGAAATAGCTTTCCCAGAGGATCGGAGGAAGATTGACATTGTTGTTCTGACTGTTACACTCCCAGCAGTGGGGGTTCATGCATTAACATACCAATCTTATCACAGTCAGAGCCAGCACACCTCTACCTTTGTGCTAACATACAAACACACACATGCTTGCACACTCTGTGCAGCTACAGCTCAACCTTTCCTCTTTAATCCTTTATCACTCCCACTCTGAACTATTTTAACTAATTAATGCTTCCTGTCTTATGTAAAGCACTTTGAATAGCTTGTTGTTGAAAGGTGCACATAAATAAAGTTGCCTCACTAAAAAAATTTCCCTTCAGTGAAATGGCAGGCCACTACAGCACCTAGACAAAGCCTTGATTACATTGTAACCTTATACATTTTTTAAAAAGGGACCTATGCACAGTGTTAATCATTAACCTCACTCTCTGTCTGGCTCCCTTGCTAATTCTCTGAATCTGAAACTGCAGCTTTAACACACTCTTGGCGTTATTATGTGTTGACAGGGATGCTGTTTAAGTGACTCGCCATTTATAATTCATGTCTGAAACGGCCCCTCGCTCCTTTTCTTTTCTGATCATCAGCACTTTCGCCTGTTGTAATGTTTCTGCATGTAAAGCCATGAAGAAATGGGGGACGGCCAGCTGAGCCCACAGACACACATTCAGAAACAGAGCAGCACACACACTGCTCCCCACAACCCACAACAAGCCTTAGTTACAGTACACACACTTGGAATGAAACACACACACACCCCCAACACTGAATCCTCACAGCATGGTGTCCCACAATTGCGTACATCGGTAGAGAATATTCAACAGAGACTCGTCAAAGGAACAAAATGAAAGTAAGAACAAATCCTTTCCACACAGAACATAAAAAAACACTGGCTGTGGTTTATTTTAATGGTTCTTATTCATTTTTAGACATTTGATCTCTGTCCAATCATCTTAAACAAGCAGAACCACGGTCCAGATGACAGTCTCTCCTGAAGGTTCTCCCCGTGGCATGCTTGCTAATGTTTTTGTTTCTTTTACCAAATGTAGGTTTTTTTGGGGTTTTTTTTTTCAGCGCATAATATTAAAAGAGAAGGACGATTTTTTAAAAGCATCTGTGGCACAAAAGAGATTCAACAAAACTTGCATCTGCACTGTAAAAGTGTCATGAACCCCAAAATGGGATTTTTAAAACATTTCTTTATTACTTACAGGCACCAAACATTGACTGTGCATGTAGGACTTACTTGAAGGCATAGCGCAGGAGGAAGCTGATCTTGCCGCAGTTGTCGCCCTGTTTGCCTTCACCCTGGTCGCCCTTGGGTCTGTAGAGCTCTGGTTTGATCTGCCCAATGCTGGTAACCTGCTCCTTCTCCTCGTGGAAATCTGGACTGGAGAGCTGGTGAGTCATGGGCTTGGGCCTGAACAGACACATAAGAGCTTGGAGGGTGAATATCGAGTAAGAAGTGCAGCATGTAAGCACCTAGCACAGCAAAAGAAGTTGCAATGTAACAGTGTGATTCAGCAGCTTCATCAGAGATACACTGCAAGGTAAACCATCTAAATTTAAATTGCACTCATTTTATTTGCATTAGTGCTTGTTCGTGTTATTACCTCAGTCACATATTGTACTCATGGAGCTAAAGCATGCACTAAAGCACAAGTGTCAAACTCAAGGCCCGGGGGCCAAATCTGGCCCATGGAACAATTATATCTGGCCCATAAGATCATATCATATTTGTATTATTATTGGCCCACCAGTATGAGGTCTGCAGATTTCCTCCAGTATAATAATAAAAACTTTTGCACCATTATTTAAAATATCCTTAATAAGCCATTAAATTTTGGAAAAGTAAAAAGTAAGGAAGATTTTCAAAAAAGTCAAGAATGTTGGGAAAAAATATTTGGTGTTTTATTTATATTTCTAATTTTGCGTCTCAAGATTACAAGTCAGACATGATCTGACTTTTTATTTTATGCTATAATTGTTTTCATCTCAGTATTTAGAGTAGTCGTTTTCATCCTTTTGATGCCAATTTTAAATTTTATATCATATTTTGACTTTAAAGTCTTGATTTCAAAATTATCTCATATTTTGACCATTCAAACTTATGATTTCAACTTTCTCCTCATATATTTGCTCTTTAAAAACATTATTTTTCTATTTTTACTATTGTGTTCAAATCTTTTGAACTAATAAATTGGATTTTTTTTTTTTAAATCACAGATTGCCTTTAACATTATCTTTTTTTTTTTCTTTTTGAATTTCCAAATGGTTTATAATCATTGCTGTTTTTGTCATATATTTTTAAAAGGAGGCTGACAGTTTGGGATAAATGTTGACCCTGTTGGGCCCTCAGGTTAGACCTAAATCCAGATTATAGCCCTTGCTGTGGTTAAGTTCAACAACCCTGCAGTAAAGCATAAAGCTTGTCAGGACTGAGGCTGCCATCACATCCCTACCTCGAACCTAAACACACATTTAACTTAACAATAAAAGGTCAAGGATCCCCCAGGATGGTACAGCCAACAGCAACAGCGTCTTGTTTTGGTGGCAGATGTCTTGGCTATGCAAACTTTAAATACTTGCCGCACTTCTTCAACTTTGATAGTATGGTTGGTAATGCTGCAGGAGTTGTCAATCAATCATCTTTTTAAAACCTAAGAAAACAAACCCTGGGACAATGTTCATCATGATAAGAGCCAACTTTAATGACAGAAACAGGGTTTGGGAAAACATGGTTTGGCACGTTTTAACTGTGTAAAGGGGTGGGGTTTGTAGTCCATTCAGCAGCAGTCAGTAGGAGGCACTCTAAATCTTTTGGCTTCATATTCAATGAGGACTTATGGCTTCCATTTTAATGTGCAGTTTATGGTTATAATGAAGGGGGCGGACTTTAAAAACCTTTACTGTAGCCAGACCTATGGGGAGCTCTATATAATAAGGCTTCACCCAGGATAGCTGTTTCGTTAATAATTAAGCAGTCTATAGATTCAATTTGGTCCACATCAGCAGTAACCATTATGTCTGTTGACAAAAATGCCTTAAAGATACCTAATCCTGCCCAGTTTTCAATGAATGTTTACTACTGGTAACTGGAATTATATGGAACAGAAATGTGTCTGAAGGAGAAGAACTAGATTAATCTGCTCAAACAATGAAAAGAGATAAGCTTGTAGATTTGTGTTGTTGGCAAGCTAATCTGTAACACACTTTGAAATAATGAGTTAAAATTAGACACAGTTAAAAAAAAAAGACTTAGAAAAATCTTGAAACTGTGACAGCTATGGTCTACCATAAATCCGTATTAACTTTTCTTTACTCATAATTTTTCTTTTTTGATCACTGAGGTTTAAGTTTATTCCAACACTTTCACCTTGACCAAAATAGAATGAATGTATGTAAAAAAGCACATATTCATCCTCTGAACCCACACTTATGCAGAGTATTTCAACAGACGGTACTAACCTTGCAGTGACCTGCTGCTGAGAATGAGCATTGGGCAGATCTTTCTGAGGATGGGCTCCCCCCTCTGAGTTGGGGACATCTGGAGATGTCGTACTGAGCTTCAGAGTACCTAACAAAGCCAGAAAAAAACCTTGATGACTCCCATTTCTCCTTTGTATGTGCTTTTCTTAGCCTTAAATGTTGCAGTGGCTAAAAGCTTTGTTATTCTTCTCTGTGATGCAGGGTTAGCAACATTGATCCAATTGATTGTATTGCATTGATTTTACCATTTAAAACAGCAAAGAGAAGGGCAGAGTGAGACGATATATTTACAATAGCAGAGCATGAACCAGCATGAAAGGAAAGAACCACAGAGATATGAAAGTAGACTCATTCGACTGCAGCAGAGGCACCAAGCAAACATTTGATGTTAAATAATGAAAACAGTTGGCACCAGTGTCAACATAGAGCATAAAAAACATGTTTAGACTCAGAGCATAAACCTATAGCTGTTATTTGAAATAACCGGATCAAATCAGGTCTTAAAGCTCTTATTTTTAAGATTTTTGTATCCTTTTAAGGAAATCTGCTTTTTGTTTTTTGTTATAATTGTTGCAGGGGTGTGACCAGAGGGTTGGCCAGGGGTGGCCTAACCTCTGTCATGAGTAAATTTGTTGTCCACTTTAAGATAATGTTTGAGTAACTGCAAGCTGACAACAGAGTTTGAATTTTGGTACAGGATTTCAGCTATTACACACAAAATATTCATTTTCTAAAAATATGACACTTATCATGCAGGGAAATCCCACACATATTCAAAATGACCTTACATGTCACACAGCAAACGCTCCCAGTGACAGGGCAGGCAGGTGGAGATCACCTGCCCTTCAGCTCATTCTCTTTCTGCTGCACACCTTTAGGCAGGTGTGTTGTGAATGGGAGAAATGACTGTCAACAATATAAAAATTTGCAGTTGCAATGTGCATGGTGACTGTTTTGAGTGAGCTCAAGGTGATGCACTTCCGCAATTCAAACAGTGATGGTGTGAGCTAATGTTCACATCTACTAGAGCTAGCAGAAACATGGCACAGCCCAGTACGTGAGTAGTCTGATTGGCATTTCAGACCCAATTTACCAGCGAATGCTCATGTTAGCCAAACTAAAAAAAAAAGTGTTCCGCGGTGCAAAGAGCTGAGGAGTTTTTGATAGGTGATTGTTTGTTGCATATTGGTATTCAGTTATGTATACTGGTAATACAGTGATGGCTGATAACCACCTCAAAAACACACTTAGAAGGGTACGTTTGATTAATTACTACCAGTCAACCTTATTTGTTGAATTCTAGATGTCATTTATACCAGTGTGGGGCATTTTTTTCCTAAACTAAATGCTAAGTATCATTAACCTACACAAAAAACACAGTATAAATTCTCAACTACTCCTGACACTAATTATAAAGATGGCAAAGAAACAGTAACGGCAGTCAAACATTAATATAATGAAGCAACAAAAGACAGGTATCAGCCTAACTCAGAGATAACACAGTAACATCATGGTTCACAGACTCTGCTGTTCAGACAGAGAAAATCTTCTTCCTGTGAATCTTTTCAGTGACAAATGTAAACAAAAGCCCTTCTTTTCTGTGTGCTGTTAAATCCATTATCAAACACCAGCAGTGGTGACGGGCAGTAGATTAACTACCAGGGAAAAACTCAATTCTATGGTTGTGTTAATTGCTTTTGTCATGTAGACATGTCAGGATTCATTTTAGTTTGTTTCATTACCTACTGAAAACTCATCACAGTTCATTTAAGGGCACCAATAACCACCCTTTTTGTCATTTGGATTAAAATCACTCCTATTCAAAATTCTTCGCCTTCTGTTTACATCCTTCTCCAGTCCTGATGTTCACATGCATGAGACATGAAGGAAACAGATGAAGAGCATTTATTGCAAGGATTACTACTTCTTGTCATTAACTTGTTTGTTATGAAAATAAAACTGTCTAAAAAGACACTTGTTTCATGCTACAACTACATTTACTCTGCTATGTTGCTTTGAAGTGTTTTCGCATGATGTCGAGTTAATAGAGACAACAGTATAGGCATGCAAATAACATCCTCCACAAGAAACAATCAAACTGAGTGTAAACATGACTGTTTTATTGGGAAACAAATTGACTACACTGCCCTTCTTTCTCTGATTAAATTCCAGTCAGATCCAGAGTTTTAGTCTGATATAAAAATCATCAATGTAGTCACTGATCTTGTTTTCTTTTGATTGTGATGAGAAGGCATCACAAAGTGGACTGTCTCTCAACAGTGATATATATATATATATATATATATATATATATATATATATATATATATATATATATATACACATATACATATATACATTTAATTACTCTGATTAATTTTCTACACCTGAAACCAATTCTGCCCTACATACTGTATACTCTCATACTGTTTCTGGTATTTTTACTTGTTGGGCTGTTTATTGATACCTTTTTTTTATTACATACAAAAGCAAACAAGACCATCAGTAACAAGACTAATCATTTTCCAATCCTAATTTTTGACGCCTTTGAAGCTGTGCAAGAGGATGGGTGTGAGCTGAGCAGCCAATGCAAAAGCTCATCTAGGGGACAAGATAAGCAAAGATTGCTTTGTCAAATCAAAAGTTACCTACAGGTGCTTTAGACCCAAATTACAGATTAGGAGCCCACAAAAAAAGTAATATTTTTTGAGTGTAGCAAAAAAGCAAACGAGACCATCAGTAACAAGACTAATCATTTTCCAATCCTAATTTTTGACGCCTTTGAAGCTGTGCAAGAGGATGGGTGTGAGCTGAGCAGCCAAATCTGGGAACCGATTGCTGTCGCTGTTTTGCGTCTATATTTAGCACGTTTGAAAGGCACGTGCAAACTGGCACAGCGTTATGCACGGTCATTGTGGGGAGAAGGATGCAGAAGTGCCATGCTAGACGCCATGATCCTGGTCCAAAAGCTTGTGATTAATTTCGTTTTTCTGGAAAATGACGATTTTCATAAATAACAAGGTCAAACGCAGAACAGAAGAAAGAAATATGTTTGTCTTATTGATTTTAAATTGTTTTAATCCCGTTTTTGATTTCTAATATATTTTCTTGCATCTGTAAAGCACTTTGAGTTGCCTTGTGTATGAGTGGTGTTATACGGATAAACTTGCCTTGCCTTTTAGGCAGTTCCCCAAAACGATATGTGCAACTCCATGGCTTCAAACTTCATTTTTTGGCGAAGACCACACTACTCTCACAAACTCTCAATGGTAACAACCGATAGCGCACGCAAAATCCTCGTTTAAAGAGGGCGGTCCGCACCTGTTTTCAATTGTGCACACAATGATAGTAAAACACCTGCAACACGCCCACTGATCGCACGTAATTTTTTTAGTTTGCACGCGCATTTTGCGTTCGCTATTTGGGATCTTAGTAGATCAGGCCCTAAATGTGCTAAATGTTCAGAACTCTTTTAATGCACAAGAGTAAAAGGCCTTCAACCAAGGTTCAAAATGGATGTTTAGTTTCTTTCTTACCAGCATTGTTGGGGTATGAGTCCATGTCCAGGTACGAGTGCTCCTGGGTCTCAGGCCCTCCAACCACACCTCCAACCCCCCCACTCTCGAGCCCCACCAAGTCAGAGAAATGTGGGTGGCCCTGTTGGCCCAGTGAAGGGTAGAGTGAGGATGAGGAGTGCCCATCCTTCCTCTGCAGTAGTGGAGGCAGGAGCGATGACCCTCCGGTGCCTCCGAGGCCTCCGACACCGGCGCTTCCTGGCAGCAAACCCGACGTCAGGCTCAGACCTCCACCCTCCTTGTCCCGCCATGGCAGCCAGCAGAGCTTCCAGGAAACGAAGAGGGAGACGGAGAGGAGGACAATGCCACAGAATGTCACGATGACCGACAGCAGACTGACAGAGATCTCTACAGAGCAGGAGGAAGAGAAGACATGGAGAGGGAAAAGGTGATCCGAGAGTTATATCCACCAGTAGCAACAGTGATGTCTCTGTCCAATGTCATCCAGCATTTCTTCATGGTTATTAGATTTTTAATCTGGGCGAGCTCAAGGATTTTGTTGGAGGTGTGTGTGTGTGTGTGTGTGTGTGTGTGTGTGTGTGTGTGTGTACTTGAGGGGATGTAGATGGTGGTTTTGGGAGGACAGAGGATGACTCACCCAGATGATAAAGAGTACAAAATAAAGGAAAAAGCATGATTTCAGCACCCTACTGTTGGACAGCTCCAGCCTCTGCCAAGAGAGAACTTTTGTAGCGCTCCTCAGATCTGCACGTGTCAAATCTCATAATACATAACTCTGTGATGAATTCATAAATTAGTTACTACGCTATAAATATTCCATGGATACTTAAAAATAAAAAGTCTAAATATACAATGAATATTTATAATTATCCTGAGCCATTTGATGTCTCTTTATAAATAGCAAATCTGAGTCTGACAGCTGTCTTGACAAAGGACCTATGAAAGCTGAGAACATGAATATTCACCGGTCAAAAGCGGACCTAAAAGAGTGTGCAGGTTCTGTTGACTGTGCAAGCTTTCTCACCTAAAGCATTATGGGATTTTTTCAGAGCAGAAAGCCAGCAACTAACAGTCAAATCTGTTTTCAGGGGAGCCAGTCATTTCTTTCATTGAAGGAAAAACTGTCTTATTGTGAAAGGAAACTGTTTCCTGAACTCCCCCACCAGAGTGACACAAAGACCTCCTTTTGTGTAACCCACATTTTCCTTAATTTAGTACAGTTCAGAACATCTTTCTGGGCACAAGAAAGACATACACACTGTTACACCAAAAAGATATAAATTTTATCTGTAAGAGGCTGACAACAAGAAGACTGAGAGCAAATGAGTGAAAACACAAAAGCCAATCCTCTAGCCCAGGGGTACATCTTCCAGAGCTCAACTCCCCGCCTTCTCTCCCCATCTCAACCCACCCGCCCTCCCTTTCTCTGGCTTTCACTCTCCCTCTATATAATCCCCTTAAACACCCTTCATTCCTTGCTGTCATTTCTTTTCCCATGCTCTCTGCCTCCTTCACTCTACCCTTCTCCTCAGCAACTGTCTCCTTGTCTGCTCGTCACCCCACCATCTCCTTCTTCTTTCCTCCTCTGTCTCTTCCTCCTCCCTCTCTCTTTGGTGAATTATTCACCAGTCTGTGTATGTCATTAATCAGCACTTGTTCAAAAGATATGATTGGGGGCCGCGGAGGGTTGGGGGATGGGCAAGGGGGACACGATCTGTCGCTGTGGAGAGCAAGACGAGGTGGGAAGCAAGGAATAATGGGATGGAAACGGAGAGAAAATAGGGAGACAGGGAAGAGAATCTGACGGTGGAGAGAAGGAGACGGGAGGAGGGTGAAGTGGTGGAGTGGGAGAAAAGGAAAGGGGGGCAAAGGAAGGTAAGATGAGACATCAAGAAAGAAGGGACAGAAGTGATGAAGGGGAAAGGAGTCAGAGGGAAAATGATCCATAGCACAGAATGAGCAGCATATAGACAAGGTGAGGGATGGAAACAGATTGGTGCACATGTTGAAACAGACATACAAGCTGACTGGGTTTTATTTCCTCTGAGGACGAGGTAGACGAGAGAATGGTTGATGAAGTCGATTCAACCACCACAGCAAGAGTAAAGAAGTAGACACCAAAGAGGCATTTGTAGAGAAAGAAAAGGAAGAGAAAGATGGAGGTAAACAAGATGACAATGATTTACAGGCAAACCTAAAGAGGGGAGGGGTTTCGGATGGGAAAGGTTAATGTATTGATTCAGAGGGGGGAAAACAAAGCGTAGAGGCAGAGGAGTCAGTTGTGTGTGGTTGGTAGATCAGGGTGCACTGATAAGACACGGCTGTGATCAAATGTTGGCGGGGGACGGTCGGGGGCCAAACCACTCGCCTCCATTTGTCTCTCTTTAGGGCAGTCGCTGCACCTTCCTGAGCACTGATCCTGCCAAAGATCTATGGCTAATCCTCCAAGCATAAAAAAAGTGAGTCAGCGGGCGGGTAGGCAGGTGGGTAGGAGGCCTCTGAAGTGCACCGTGAAGAGGGACTGAGACTCGTTGTCAATCAGCGACTGATGCGAGCCCACTGGGAGTCCTACATTGCTCCACATCAAACACATCTCGGCTGCTTACACAAGCCATTCCTCTGACAGCTTTCGGCGGCAGCGGTCCTAGGAGGGCTCACAGACTTCCGTCAGCACACACCGAAATTCACAGCTTGTAAGCGAGGGGGCCAACGCCTTAAACCATGGCGTGACATTTCTGCACAGAGCCATCCAAAGCTCCAGAGGCAACGTACAGCCAATCCTGGCTAATCTACACTGAGCCACAGATATCCATGCTAATCTGCATAACAGCACATTTCACTTCCAAATGCTTCAATGAGAATACACATACAATACTCTGCATACTAGGCAGCAGGATACATTTACTCAACTGGGTATAAAGTATATGAATACATTTTTATAATCCAGTTCTGAGATAACAATCCAAGAATTCCACTGAGACTCTTTCGGGGCTGACAAAAGACACTGAATGGACCGGTGCTGGTATGGTCTGATCATTTCGGTCTTGCAGATGAATATTTCATGGTTTGTTGTCCCGTGTGCACAGTATCTCCAACCATGTTTAAACATGAGCACTCCTATAACTGTTTGCTTTGTCACATATGTCCTGTTACTGTACCCGTCCCCAAATAAGGAGGCCAAACTGGAATTTTCCTACAGCAGGACCTTCTGACTGAGTGATGAATTCCTGAAATCAACTCCTAAAACCTCTTCAGCAGCAAAGACTCATTCGCTGTAAGATAAAAAAAAGCTAATGTATCCTCTGCAGATTGGATTTATAAAAAATTCAAACCTAAGCCAATTGTAGTAGTTTGTAAAGGTGGTAATCATTTAATTTATAGCAAGCTGAGGTCTGCAGTAGTGGCAAGAGGGAAATGTTTGTGCAGACTGTCTTGTTTTTGTTGTCTTTGTTTTTTTTAACTACGAACAAGTTATTTTTGGATCCAGCTAACAGCAGTCTATGTAAAGGAGGGAGCTACCAACTTGGACAAACCACAATCACATGGTAAAAGCAGGTCAATACTACAGTGTCTGGACTACAGTACTGCTTAAACCAATCCTACTGTTGACTTTGAACCATGCTGGAGGCAGAACTCAAGGGAAGAGATAAGATAAGTTGAGATGAGATAAAATGAGATAAGAACTTTATTTATCCCCAAGGGGAAATTTGTTATTTTCAAAGAGTAGAGGTTGCCCATTTTTATTTTTTTTATAGGGACGATACTGATATCAAATTTAAGAAGTTCATGAGATTTATCAGCAATATTTGGAACCAATACACAGAAACAATATAAATAGGAAGTGTGTTAGAATTATTTCAGTACTAGACTAAATGAACCCTTTAATTTGTTGGCTTTCACTGCATGTTTGTAGACAGGTGGTATGATAGTTGGTGTCAGTGTAGACTCCTCCGAACAGAGCAGAGTTTGCTTAGCTGTTCAGGTTAGGTGGCCATCAATGGACATTGTTGGTGGGCTATGTTAAGTCTATGTTCCTTGAGTTTGGGGTTCAGTTTGAATAAGAGTTCTTCATTACTAACTGCTTGCTACAAAAAAGGCTTTGAAAAGTTAAACATCACACCCAGTAGCGAAGTCAATGTCATAAGATAGCTGACAGCTCAGAATTTAAACCCAATATTTTATCAAGCCCACATGGTGTTGCTGGGAAAAAAACATTGAGGTATAAATTCAGTGTTGCAAAACAGTTGTGTCAAGTTTGGTTTAAACAGTGTGGTTTGAGAAAAAAGAGTCAATGAGTATGAAATGAACGCAAAAAGCAACCTTCTATTTTAAAGACCTATGGGCAGCAAGCAGCAGCCAGTCACAGTATAGTAATACTAGCCAGAGGACAACTGTCAGATCTGTTGTTATCTTCTGTCATGTATGGGGTCACATTTTCAACATCTGTTAAAATCTCGCTGTGTGACTCAGGCTTCATGAAAACAATGCCTCCAGGTGTCCGGGTTACCTGTATCCAGCTGTCTGTTGCGACCTCTCAGCAGGTAGCTGAACTCCTGGCAGCGTTCACTCTGGCTGTAGCCTCTTGGGGAGTTGAAGCACAGTTCCTCCACCAACACCAGCGCCTTCTTACACAGGTCTTCATCCCAGTCTCCCGACATCCTCCAATCCGCATCGCACTTTCACCAGAAGTCAGCCAATGACAGCCCAGCCCTCACCGCCCTCACCTACTGGACGGCGCTCAGGTAGGTAGAGTGTTGGCCTGTCCACCTTTTACAAGGCGTGAGCTGAGGAGGAGGAAGCCAGGAAAGCTGAAAGGGCACAGGTGATAAAGGAGGAAAATGAGGGGCTCTTCAGGGTGTCTTGGTCTGGATCACAGGGTCCAGACTGATGCCCCCATATATGCCTGAAGGACACCCACCCCGCTCACTTTCCCTGGAAGAGAGAAGAGGAGAGAAGCCAGTAAAGTGAGTGCTGAGGCATAAAAGTGTACAAATCAACTTTCTGGCAGGTTGGTCACCTTGACCATTAAGTGAGAACACTGATGCCAAAACCATCAGTGTGTCCCTGATAGATCATTGGCTCTGGTGCTGCATAATACCCATTTACACTCTGAAGAGTGATACTAAGAACCTGGCACCCATTTACAGTCCAAGAGTGATACTAAGAACCTGGCGCCATATTAAGGAAAAAAAAAAGATCTGATTTCAAGAGTCCACAGAAATGCTGAAGTCTGGCAGATCTGTAGTGAGCTGATAAAACAAAGGTTGACCATTTACCACTTATCAAGCTAACAGCTATAGTGTTAGACTTTCCTCTGCTAATTCAAATAAAAAAAAAAGACTTTGAATAGGCTTTCAGGAAAATTTGGTCCCCATATGGTCCATGGGAAGCTAAAAGGATTACACCAATCAGTTAAGGAACAAAATGTAATATTTTCATTGAAATGAACTGACTGAAATGGAGATGAAAGATGAGTGGAGTTGCACTATTGTGCTGACTTTGGGTCGTAATTCACATATGCTGCCAGTTCAGACTGCATTACATCCAATTGATGTTATATCAAAAGTAAGGTAAACATGCTGCAAGAATGTGAGTCTTGAACTACCACAACATCAATTACATATCTACTTCCACCTCTGTGAGACAGATGATTTTAGACGATTTATAATCAACAGCTTACAGCTAATTTTCTCTATGTGTTACCTGGTTCACGCTGTGTCCTCTCTGTCTGAATGATGCCAGATGCTTCACCCAATACTGTGTGCATAAAGTTCAGAAGACGGTCCCACTGTCCATGGTCTCTTGAGGCCACGGTCATTCATCCTGATATTTTTATTCAGTGCATTTGAGGGAAACACTGTTTTCACTTTGAGGAGTTCTGAACTGATTTTAAAATAGTCTTACTCTTCCACTTAAGAACTATGGATTTTTAAAATATGCTTTTGCTCTCTTGTCCACGCCAAGGATGTTACTGGATACTTCTCTGTCCACTCAGAAACATTGCCACAGGTGAAAATGTTCATTTTGGCATGCCAGACTGGTCGATAATATCTAATTAGTCACGTCAAAACACCACAGAGGGACGTTGTGTGCTTTAGTATTGAGCATCTTTCTGAGCAAGCTGCACTTGGATACGGCGTTACTTGTACTTTGAATTAAAAACTAGTCAGCATGATGTATTTATTCCCCACTGTGCAGTTTAAAGAGTAAGAACAGTAAGGTGTTTTTGCACACATTCATTTTAGCCTAACTGTACCGAGCAGTCCTGTCTCGCTCTGAATAGGGCAACGTTTAGGTCTTTGCTGCTTTCATCGTGTTTAGTAATGAAAGTAAGTTTGCAAACAGGAGTTTTTTTTTATCTTTTTATTTGAACTAATTCTAGTTTTACATTTTGTTTTGTAGCCATGGCTGATATTGGAGCAGGCTTAGCAAAAAGACATCCATTTTCAGTTTAAGTGTTATTTTAGGTGGAGTAACTTTACATTTCAACTTTTCAACCAGGGCTTTACCAGGTAAAACAATGTGAATGTTTCACTACTTGTTGAGGACAAGAGTTCATACATGCACACACTAATTTTGTTCCAATTTCCTGGGCACTGAAGCACATTTAGGCTGTGACAAGCAACATGAAAATGGAATATGGGTTCCTTTGTAAGCTAACTGTTATAAATCAGTTTTGTGAGTGTTGTTGTTTCATTTATAATTTCATGTAGCCACTAATCAGTATTTCCTGATACTTCTACGTTCCTCAAAAGAGTAGACCTAAATTTAAAATAAGATGTACTCAAAAAGAAGACGTGTTTCCCATTAATTTCCTTCCACAACTACGACAGGCATTGACAGAATTCACATCTCAAAAACACATCCCATAAAACCCTCCTAATTCTGTCCAAACCTTCACCAGAATCAACACAACATGGAAACTCTTCATTGTGCCATCAATAAGAAATTAAAGGTCATTACACATCAGGAGAATTTGCAAAGCGAATAATTTGCTTTTTCTTTAAAACCTTAAAGTCAATGCAAGCTTCCACACTGGCTACGAATTTCCGCAGAGTGAAAAACTGACTGTAATTTTTTTGCCTCTATATATTTTGCAAACATTCGCAGGTGAACTGCTAGAACTCTGGCCAATCAAAATGCAAACCGTTGCTCTGGATCTATTGGCTCTCTAATTTGTCCTCTCCTTCTGCAAATGTGGAGTCAGCTGATGGAGCAGTTCCTGAAATTGTTTAAGGGTTAATTCTGAAGTATTGTCGGAATCCCCCCCCCCCCCCCATCTCCTGTTGAAGGTCAGTATTGGATGTACCCAGACACTTTACACTTTTCAATAGGCTTAAAACCATGACCAGGTCATCATCATCACTTGAGGATGTTGTCGCCATTGTTTCTCCTTCTTCTCTCTCCCTCTCTGTTCTCCCATGGCGTATTTGCGCCACTGACTGTATTTTCATGCGAATATGTGAATTTGATTTCGCATAAAAGGCGTGGGCCAATTATTAAACATTTTCGCGTCACTTCACTAATTCGTTGGTGTGTAATAACCTTAATTCAACATTAACACACCAAAGGAACAAAACAATGTGGGAGTGATATCTAAATTGGTAATGGATAAACCATTACCTCAGATTTTTAGATTCACTCCTTGCCATTAGGAAGAAATTCTAAATTTGTGCATTTCATTAATTTGGTGAATTTCAGAAAGCGATGGTTTGTGTATTTACCTTTAGTTAACTCAGCTGCTGGGTTTGTGGTCCATGCTGAATTTGCAAGCCAGAGCGGAGACTCTCTACATGTGAAATTGTCCTTACAAAATGATTTGGCAGCAAAATAAAGAGTTATGCCTGCATAACCTTTAGCTTGCTATTTTCCTAATGTTTCCATGAAAAAACACAAAAAGCAGCCTGCAGATAGGGGTTTCTTATCACTGCAAGTTAAGTTGAGCTCTCGGTCATCTAGGTCCAACAGGAAATGGTTGAACACATTTGGATCTGCAGTCTGTCCAACACATCAGCGTGGAGTGGAAGTCATCTGAGATGGGAAGAAACTCTGTGGAAGCTCTCCAACAGCACCTGAAAATCAAGTTGAATTAACCAATTAATGAACTAAAAAGGACACCAAAATAAGGACATCATGAGACAGACAGTGGTATCATTTCTGTTATAAACCACTTAGTTAGATCTTAAGAGTTCCTGTTTTTACCTGGTTGTGAAACAGATCAAATACTGAAATTACTGCCTCTTTATGACCTACAAAAGCAAACAAGACCATCAAAGACAAGACTTTGTCTTCGTTCCCAACGGGCCAATTGTTGTTGGTTTTGTTTCCTTCCAGTTCACAGCTACCATTTAGACAGAGGTAAAATTAGATGTATTAAATTTGACTGCCTTACATGTAGATCCCTTGTCTTTTTATCTGGGATATACTAGACTCCTTTAGCACACCATCTTTATTTTTGAACTCATTCTGTCTAAATAAAGCAGGTCAATGCCCAAACTCCAGTTTCTCACAGTCTGTAAGTCTCCGGGGACTCTGATTGGGAAGAATGTATGTAAGTTGTGTCTAATACAGATCTTTTGCAAAAACTCAAAGTGTGTCACCCCCAAAAGTCTTAGGCACCAGTGTTGGGGTTAGGAAATAGATTGAAGGCACAACAATTTTCACGGTGAGAGGTCAGGGCTGTTTTGTCCTTGTGGACCACAGATCTATTTCTCAAGCAAGATGCCTCTTTGGACAGAGGAGGAATTATTGATCATTTGATGTATGTTGTTCTGTTAAACATCAGCGTCAGTCTTTGTGTATTGAGTGGCACCTCCCTAGGAAAGTGCTCCTTATGTGTCCATCTGTCTTCCACCTATCAATCAATCACAACATTAGGCCGAGACGTATATCACTCTGAACAAGGTCCCAAACAAGAAATGCTTCCACTCCCTTCCTCTGGTAGACACAATCACATTTTCTCTCTTGTTCACCCTGTCTCTTTGGAGAAGCAGATTGTCACATCAGTCTGAGGCAGAACTCAGATAATGCAGTCCATTTATCCATCCATCTCAGCTCCGCCGATTGCAGAAATTAGCAAATCAAAACACCATCCAGACCCAATGTCCTGTACCAGCCCTCCTCTTGGCTCCCCCAACCCCCACCACTTTCTCTCCATTAAGATAGTAAATCTGTCTTAGTGACTTTAAAACCTAGGATATCTCAATCTGAGGAATGGCTGTCTGGCACAAAACTGGCCGACTCAAATGCCAGCGAGAGCATCAGGAAGGGACGATGAGGCAAAAAAGAAATGGAGGAGACGGACAGACAGAGAACAATTGTGTAGCGAGAGGAAGGGGGAGACGGAGAGATATGGATGAAAGAGATGCTGACATTAAATTGGTGGTGAGACAGATAAAGAGGAAGGGAAAAAAATTGAGCAGAGAAGGGCAAAGGAAAAAAAGCAAAGGAAGCTGGCGGCAATGGTGACACAGCAGCATCAGTAATCAAAGGGTTTGGAGATGCAATTTAATGGAGTGAAATATTTACAGAAGCTGGTTATCCATGGATAAAGATGCCTTCACAAACATGTCCACCATTCATTCTGCTCTGACAGCCCCATGACTAGAAATGCATTTTTTAACTGTAGTGCACAGTGCAACTCTAAACCTCCCACAGACACTCCATTGACTGCTGTTCTGAGTGGGATCGATACTCACAAGGAACAGATACACCACAACATAGACCAGTTGACCAGTAAGGTCACTGTCCGATTGGGCAGATGAGACAGGAAGGCATGCAAGGTCACAGTCTAATCGCACGATAGAGAAATGGGGATGAGTATTGGTGGTCTTCTCCAATCAGAAACAAAAAAATTATTGTAGAAGGTCAAGGCTCAATCATGACAAAGGTGGTCAATCAGATTATCAGGGTAAATCTGGGGAGGAAAGGCCAGGTTGACCAGAGAGCTTGATCCAAAACATGGCAATAGGTATAAAACAAATATATAAAAACAAATATATAAAACAAAGACTGCACAAAATATGGATGCAGTTTCAGAAGAATTGGTAACGTGGTGGCCAAAGATCATGGTTGACACACTGGAAAAGGAAAGTTCAAGCTAACCAGCCACGACCAGCAAAGAGGTGGGTTTGAGGCCATTGCCCTGTTGCCAAATAACCACCGAATGGCCATGTCAAAACCAGTCAAACCAACCACGCCCCTAATTATACCTACTTACTTGGGGGCTGTCAAGATTAATGCATCAACACGTGGTTACTTGTGGATTTTGATGACGTGATATAAAATGGCTGGATGTCCCTGTACGGTTCCGCGGTTGACAACGAAATGTTGACAACGGGATGTGCATTAGACTTGAGTCAGTTTTTACTCCAAGATTTCTGTAATGGACCACCTGTCTCCTCACCGTGCTGGTCATGATGCCAAGTTATTCACATTACGTTGAGGCATAGTTTATGAACTATTTACTATGTATGGATGCAACCTGACTTCTGAGCTGTCACTTGAGAAGATCATGAACAAATACACCCAGGACAGACAAATCGGGTGGTGGCTAAGGCCTCAATTAAGAGTCTTGGATAAATCATTAGGGCTTGGTTACAACAGAATGCTTTCAGTTTCCTTTTTTTTTTTCAATAAGGCACCAATAACGTTTATTTCAGGGCTTATACCTGTACTGACCGTTGGCACCTTATGAGACCAGTAATAGATATTTGGAACCATTTGCGTGCACATGAATGTCAGTGGCACCCAGGCTTCAGTGCTGGTAGTGAGGTGGGTAAGGCTGTTGCAATAAACCATTATTGATGGTAACTGACTTTTAAAAAATTTAAATATTAATAATGTGCTAAAAATAAGCCCAGGGTAATACTGCAACTTCATAGTAGTGGTCCTTTATGTTGCTTTCTGCAAACCTTTCACTGGAGGAGATACAACCAAGTAGCAGAAGACTGCCAGTGAGCTGGACCAGCCCTCTGAGAGATGATTAAGCACTTTTATGAATTGGTATCCAAGATTCATTGAGAATCCCAAAGAAACATTAAAGTTGGTCCCTCTTCGGGTTAACTGAAAATTTGTACTGTCTAACTGTTCTTTTTATTTTCATTCCACATCTTTTGATCAATTAGACTTCAGAATAAAAGTATGGTGTCACCATGCAGGACATAAAGAAACCTAAACACAAGACAGAAAAAAAGTCAAAATAAAAGCACGATAATGGTTTATGTTTTAAGTTTTTACATGAATATTGCAATAATGTCAATAATGTCAGGTGAAAATCTGGTATTGTGACAGCTCTTACAGTGAGTCAGAGCTGTGAGTGAAAACGGACCAAAGGAGAACACTTTTTAATTAGTCAATTCGATCAATTGTCTGATTATTAGCCTAATGCCAAATACCAGCCCCTATAATCACCAGAACAATACACTGACCCCCAATTCCAAATATTTTAAATTTTGAAAGTAAATAGAAGTATTTTTAAACTGTGATGAATCTTTTTTTTATCAGTTCATAGCACATTTCTCTAAGCCTCTGTATCGCACACATATGGTCATGGTCATAGGTGTCTCAATAGATGAATGAAGTATTGAGGCTACAACTGTTGTTGTTTCTGGTCCAGTATGTGAACATGTTTAATCCTGCTGTAAACATAGACATTGTCATATGTGCTTGAACAGGGTTTCTTTTCAGCATCGCAGTTGTTGCTTTGTATGAAATCAAATTAAGGAGTGGACCATTAAGCGAAAAAAAAAAAAAAAACACTCATAAGTGTCCTTCACCAGGACTCTAAGCCCCCTCTGAGGCAGGTCCCTCCTGTTAACTACTAAGGATCAGCGAAAGTCTCATTTTTAATGGCTCACTCCAGCCGTTACATCCTCAATCTAGCTTCTAGGCAGAGAGGTTGTCAATGACGTGTTTTTGTTTGTATCCCCTTTACATGGGGATCATTCTTGTATTTGCAAAGAGGAGGATAGATTTGAAGCCCCCTAGAGGTGAGAGCTGAGGGAAAAAAACTCAATATAAATTAGAGTTAAGAAGCACATCCAAAATAAACATGACACCCAGCACAAACATTTTCATACTGCTGGGGCATTAACCAATAAATATTTATTTAATATTGAATACACCTTTTCTGAGCAGTTGTATTGGATTTGTGGCTCAGCACTGCTCACACAACAATTCCAGTGGTTCTCTCACTTGCTCAGAAATTCCATCCAACAGCTCCAAACAAACAAAGAAAAAACCCGAGCAGGGCGAAGGCGAATTTGATAAAACCCGAGGGGGTGCAGGTTTTTCAGTAACAAGGATCTGAATCCAAAATCTGTGCGTGCAATCTGTCTCCCAGCGATGAATCATACACCTCAGCTGGGTCTAGGAATTACAGTGATAAGGTATTTGAAATGCTGCTGTCTGCTGAATGAGAAGCAGAAGACGTGCGGATGCTTTACCACAAACCTGTGATCTACTGCAGCTTCATATCAGCATCTGGCATTTGATTTTCTGGTCAAAAACAATATCTGTCCCTGTGTTGAGTGAAATATGACACATATGGGTCTGCCACAGTTTCAGTTTTCCCAATTCAGAAAAAGGCCATCGTTTTATTTATCACAGTAGTGAAAGCTGGAGTTGTAGACCATGAGTAACCTTGGGGTGAATTTCAGAGTTTGCCTATCATCAATTTCACATCATATCCTTTTCCAAGTCTCTTCAGCTTCTCTTTTCTCTTACAGTATACTCAGTTTGCACCAACTTGAATTGGCCCGGGATTCTTAAATGTCAAACTCTCTTCATAGAAAGAAAATTAATACCTTCCTAATTGCAACATTTCACTGAGAACAGTCAGAGCCTTTTTATGTAACAGCATAGAGCTCTTGCAGACAAAGGAGACTAATCCATTGGATATACCTAATAGGATGTTTCAGACGGATCTCAGTGAACCTGCTTTCGAGCCTTCCTATCAGCTGCTGTGCTTCTTTGTTTTCATCTGTACCTGGAAGTCATCCTTAATTGACTTTTCCTCCTTGTCCTGGAAGCTTTCATCGCTTTTTAGTTGCAAAGTCTGTAAATTAACTTAAGTTTTTAAGCATATTTCACACTCCTCTTGTCTGATCTTTCATGGATTGTACTTCAGAACCACTTTTTCTTTGATTTTGAACAAAGGTGTCATTTTCTGTTTGCAGTGCTGATCAAACTGGCAACCAACTCCTCACAGCTACACACTTTGATGCTGTCGCTATGACGGACCCTGCTGGGCCATATCATGTCGTGCACCGACTCAAATCGATGTACTCCTGTAGCCTTAGATCATCTGCCATTTGTCAGGACTATCCCTGATTCATAGAGGTCATGACCTCCCTACACCGACACTGGCACATCCTGCATTTTGTTTTGCATCACTTCCTTTCCAGGCCACATCGGTGTCTGCCCGAGACAATGCTATCATTGCTCCTCTCTGCTCATTGGGCTGTGACAGATTGATGCACAGGGGTAAACAGATAGGCCCACTACAGCACATCCTTTTGGTTACTCCAGGAGAGCTTCTGTGTTTCACCAGGACAGACTCTGCTCGGTATGAGGCCAAGATTGAACGTGGGGATATTAATGTCTATTGACTAGAGGTAATAGCTTTGCTGAGCCTCAGCCCCGGGGTTGTTCCAATTTCGCCTGTCCCATAATAGCTCCTGGACACCCTTTCAGCAAATAAATAACATGAAGTGGGAAAGAGTGGGCCTTAATATCTGCTTAAGACCATATATCTCTATAAACATGCAATCAAACACCAACAGCAGACGTCGTCTCCCTTTATCCCTACCTTTTTCTAGCCCACATTCACACATATCAAAGGTTGCTATTCAGGATTTCACAGCTTCCCACCGATTCTGTTGGCCTGTTGAAGCTGCAAGTGTCTAAATTATCTATAACATGGGACAGGAAATAGAAAGCAAGTGGCAAGCCAGCAACCCTGGGATATCGGTGCTGCTCTTCCTGTCTTTTGCACAGCTAGTGGAGCTGCAGAGCAGGACCTATTTACAGACAGGGAGTGTTATCACACACACACACATACACACACACACTGGGCCGCTCTCACTTAATTTTTCACCTGCCTCGATGTCAGTGTGGTGAGTCAGTGGGTCTCAGTGGTTGGGGCAGGGGTGGGGGGTATTTTCTGCACGACTACGATTCTCTGAGGTGAGGAAGCCCGAGCAACTCTGCCTTTGATGGTTTGGGGAGGGGGGTTGTGGTTGGGGTGGGGTGAGAGGAGTGTGGGTGGAGGGGGGGAATTACGCACGTCTTACGCGCGTCAACCTGTCTTCAGTGTTTGTGCGTGCTCTCGCGCGCACCCAGCCGTCTGATCGCCTTTTGCATCAAATAGCGTTTTTAAAAAGTTAAATAACCGTCGTCCGCGCGCAGGGCTGCCATTGATACACTTGTGCCTCAGAAACGAGCCTGTTATCTGCCTACATTAGCCTGCACAGACTGCCTCCACACAACAGGCATCCCACTATACTGTATGCTCGAAACAGAATCCTTCCGCTGACTGAAATGCAATATGGAAGCGGCAGGGTGATGCACAAATAATATCCATTAAATATTAATGGAAAACAGACACATGCTGCTAGATTTAGGGCATATTCAGCAGCACACAGTGCGGGATGCAGGATCAAAGGAGATGTGATGCGAATAACGCGAACATCGCAGGTAGCACAGAGCCAAATGCATGTTTTCTAGAGGAGTAACAAAGCAATTATCTGCCTACCTTAGCGTCTCCTTCTCTCCCCAATTTCCGATTTACGAGCCGCTCCGCTGTTTAAGTCAGATGCGACGCTAGTGAAGGGGCATTCCGCCCTCTTTCAGCTCGTCCACCCCCTCCTCTCTCTCTCTTCTTGAAGATGCACCGAGATATCAGCCCCGCAACCGGGATGGCAGACTGAGAGGGAGAAATGAACAATATGATATCCCTGCCCTCCCCTCTTCTCCCTCCCGTTTCCCGTGTTCTTCTCTTTTATTTTACCCCCTCCTTGTTGTTTTTTTCCTCCTCTCTATTTCACTATCCCCTCCCTCTCCCTCTCTCTCGTTCTCTCTCTCTCTCTCTTTCGGTTGCTCACTCGCTCACTCTCCTTTTTTTTCCTCCCCTGTGCTCTGAATACTAATACTGTGTCTCTCTCCTCTCACTGCCTGAGCAGCCCGGTCAGTGCTAAAGACATACTGATGTATGTGGGGCGTGTAGAGAGAAAGCCTAAGAGAGAGAGAGGTGATGTGTGTGTGTGTGTGTGTGTGTGTGTGTGTGTGTGTGTGTGTGTGTGTGTGTGTGTGTGTGTGTGTGTGTGTGTCCTGGGGGGGGGTTCGGAGGGTAATGGCCACTGTCAGCCTTGAGGGTACAAGGGTGGGTTTGGTCTTATTAAAGCTGTGATTAGATAATGATACTTCTGCAGATGCTTCTGGAGAGGTAGTGGTGGTGGTGATGGTGGTTGTGGGAGTAATGTTTGATTGGTGGGTTTGGGGGCACATAAAATGTTTCCCTTTTTTATGGTAGCATCCCTAGAATCAGAGTAGGAGGAGGAGGACATGAGGTAGGTGGAGGTGGGGGAGTGTGAGGAGGAAGTGTTGCTTGGATGTCAAGTGGCAGGGAGCAGAGACAAGGGCCAGTGTCATTCGGCATGGCGCCAAAAGAAGGACATGGCTCTTGGCCTATTTGGGTGTGTGTTTGTGTGTACCATGGAATCCTCAATGAGAAGAGCAGCTAAGGTATACAGAGACTGTGATCTAGTTAGAAAGAGACACAGTCTTATTGGAGCCAGGATTAGATTAGGACATCCCTGCAGGCCTCATATAAGGAAAGAGAGGGAACATAAAAATGTTTCACTGTTTTATGGTTACTCCACTTGCAGGATAAAGACAACTCCACAACTTAGTCATACAACACAACACTTCCTCCAATGAGGCCAGAGTCTGCATCCCATGTGAAACCAAAAAATTAAAGTTGAGTTATCACTTGAAGAACCCAGTAATATTCCTTCTAGGCTAAGAATAACAAAACCCAGACCAAGTAAACCAAGCAGCAGCTTCCAGCAATGAAAAAAATGAAACTGAAGCAGAAGGAAAAAAATAAAACTACTGTGTCCACCGGAGTCCAAGAAACCTCCTTAACACCCATGTTCAAACCTACCTTTTTATAACAATATGACAACAGTTCTGAAAAACTCATCCATATCTGTTCACACTGTAAAAGGGTAAGAAAAAGTATCACTTGTGATTTTGGAGATAAAACTGAGATTTACTTTGTCTGTTTCAGTGTTGACTGAAAGCTGGTTGAGTCAGCATTTCCAATATGGTGTTCACTTTCTTCAGCATCAAAACTCCTCTTCAGAAACCCATTGGGGGACACCACTGAAACTAGTTTTATGTTCTACACAGCCCATGACCTAAAGCTAAAGCAACAGGTGGTTTTCACTTTATAAGCAAGTTAAAAAAGTCATATGAAATAAAACTACAACAAAATATCTGCATTAGATGACTTGAGGGAAATTACATTGGTGCCCTCAAAAGTCAGTTACTACGCAGTGTCAAAGCTTGTTTTGAAGTGGTGTTCCTCAAGGTGCCCTTCTGGGTCCTTATTTAAAGAAAAACTGATTCACCATGTTAATGTTAAATGGGAGGTTTGGCTCAGTGGCTAAATCCCCATCAGATACCACAGCCCTTGAGGCGGCAGTGCCAAGTTCAGTTCTCGGCCTTTTGTCAAATGACATTCTCCACACTCTCTATCTTGTTTGTCTACCATCAAATCTTTCCATAAAGGCACAACAAAGCCTCCAAATATTATCTCATAAATTAACACAGATTAGTACTCAGCCAGTACTCTGGTATTGGAAGTGTTCTGGTGTATAATTATATTACAAGAAATATTGTTTTTTAGACTTTTAGCAAGCACTGTCTGTGCTGGACTGGAGAACAGTCTGTGAGTAGGGCTAAACGAATGAAATGCAATCCACCATCATGAGATCCATCAGCTGTTTACGGGCAATTTAGTTTTCTTTCATAACTTCAAACAAAGATCTGCATGCAAGTGCAGAGAACAATCTGCTCTCAGACACCATTACTTGACAACAAAATCTGATATAAGTTCACAAATTGCTTGTCAGAGTGTAAACAGCATCAATGCACAGAGAAGAAAGCCCTGGCCTGGGATCCTTACTGCCGACTATCTGCTACACTAGTAGCTCTTGAGAGGTAAGCCATTGCATTGTCTTCTTTGAAGGATAGCCGGTAGTTTAAAACTGAAATCAAAACTGTACTTGCAGCAGTGAGAGAGCACACTGAAAACAAAGTTTTGATTTCCTGATGTCCAATTATGTGTGAAATCCCATCCACAAAGTTGCCTTCAATTCAATCACACACAGCAAACAGGAGAGACTCCGCAGTCTAACAGCTTTGCATTCGATGCACAAGAACATGTGTGAATCCCTGCGTTTGTACACTGCCTGCTGCTAACACTGTGACAACTTCAGCAGTTATGTAAGACAAGTCACCCCTCTGCCCCTCAAGATGTTCATTGCATATGGGCCTGTTGCCATACTGAATTTACACTGTGAACAGTGTATGCTCTTGATTCTTGTCCTCTGCATGATGCATAGCTGCTTTAAAAATTACCACTTCGTGCTAATGAAGTTATTAGTCCTTAGGATGGTGACGCGTCCACTTGGTTAACCAGGGGATGAAATCAGAGGTCATAGGGTTAAACAGGAACATAACCAATCTCTTTATTTGTTTTTGTTTGTTCTTTAGGCCTTAATTATTCTAAAGTGGCAAGGTTTTGTTTTAATCAGGACTCCCGTGTGATTGTGTGCTCTGCCCTGATTGGTCTCACCTGTGCCTGATTAGCTTCTCCTCAAGCAGTGTACTTACTCTGTGTGTTTCTGCATCCCTGTGCCAGATCATCCTTGGACTATGTGCCAAGATTTCCAGCCTTCCTAAGCGTGAAAGCTGGAGGGCTTTTGAACCTCCTTTTTGCTCTTTTTAACGTTTGACTGCCCTCGTGGTTTGAACCTGTCTTCCAAGTTTACCACAAGCCTTTTTAAAATAGACAATCCAAACTGCTTTGCCTTTGTAGTCTACATTTGGGTCCTAACTCCTGTGTTTTTGTTTCTTTTTGTACCAGACATGACAGAAAGTCCTCCCACTGAAGCAGGAGAAATGTTCAGGTGAGTCTTAAGGCTTATTCATGCACTGTGCCAGATATGGACAGAGTCCTCTACCTGTACTCTGCGTTCTTGTGGTCCATATTTCTTAGTGTTTTCCAAAAGCTTATGGAGCAAACATTTTGTACCATTGAGGATCATTGCGTTAGTGCCAAGCAAGTATGTACAACAATTTAAGCTAGACTAGCAAAACACAATGCAGAAGAGCAGTTTTAGGGAAGATCAAGGGAGTTTTTTGGAAACTATGAATGGTGTTACCTCTCCCTAGCTCAGAGGCAAACAACTAAAACAGAACTGACGGGCAGGTGGGAACAAACAGCTGCATGGCAGTAAAGGAGAGGTGAAAGTCTCTGCAAAATGAGTTTGTTCGTGCACCAACATCTAACTAAATGTGAAGGATGCATGGAAGAAACAGTTGTCATTCAAACGTATGCAAACATTATCACTGATATAGGAAGCATAAATGGGCCTCAAAAGCCTGTGACTGGCCCAGAAATATTACAATATTTGTGGAAGTGAATAATCAGACCTGATCTGACATGTTTGCTTTGGGTGTAAAATCCCTGGTGGGGAGGCCCTGCACTCAAGACAACAGAGTTATTCTGATTTAAAAAAAAATATGACAATAAATGTTTGACAACAACTCTGTTTTCCATTACAAAGACGAGATGATGACAGGATGACAGATGAACATATGCTGATAACAAAAAGTCGGACAAATATAGGTTTGTTTTCATTAACGAGATGATGACCAGACGTAAATGTTGAAAGTTGAGCAACGGACATTTAAAACTCATATCTTGCCCACTGCACATCCAGTCCATCACCAACAATCACTAGGCTGAGTTTACTGAAGGGCACAGTGCTCTTTTGTCACTCTTCCCCAACAAGTGTGTCATGGTTACAAATCCTCTCTGCCTCCATGCATTTCACTCCTTTTCATTCATAACCATAGACTGTATATACTATGGATAACTTGGCTCCACCTTCCGTCAGTATATGAATTTGAAGCTGAATTACTCTCATTATTTCCGGGATTTTCTCCACTTCCTGGAACTACCACTTGCGCAGTAGTGTTGTAGGCTACCCCTTTGGGGAGAGAGTCGCTGTGATGACGCTCTGCTCAAACAGCGTATCCCCAGGGTGAGCTACGCAATCTTCATACACCCATAGGCTGTATCAAGTGTCAATCATAGAAAACATGAACCCCCTCATAACTTTAAAAAATGGAGCTACACAGAAAAAAAGAGGACTTGAGCACAAACAAGTCTTACAGTGACTACATGTCAACAACGCAAGCGGGGGGGGGGGGGGGGGGGTATACCCATCACCAGAGAGTGCTGTTCTTGCGATGGCTTCACCCAGCAAGGAGTCAGATGGCATCCATTCTATATACAGTCTGTGTTCATAACTTTGTCAGTGACAAAGATTTAGACTTAAGGCTAAAGCTGCTGCCAAAGTTAACTATGCAAGACTGACAAGGTACCTTCAAACACATCCTGAATCAGTGGTAACATTTAACCTGTTAATGTTTGGTTCACAATCTTCAGCTGAAACACACTTGTGGTAAATGCTTTCCTGTAGTTTATCAGTAAAAATGCAATGGGTTGTTTTGGATTTTGCAAATGAGTGTGTGGAAGGGGGACTGCATTATTGGAGCTTAAGTGATAATTTACTTCGTTTTTCAAAGGACCATGATGGCAAACAAAGATCAAGACAAAGGGCTCTATTTTCGTGCCTTGCCGGTGGTGTGGCTTAGGCACGGTGTGAGTCAGGTCCGCTGCGCCGATCAGGCGTGCCCAAGCACACTTTGGTATTTTGGTAAGTGGTGCAGCCTGGTTTAAGCACACTTTGGTATTTTGGTGAGCGGCGCAGCGCTGCTTAAATATCTGCCCTCCCTAACTCAGCTCCTCCCAGCGGCGTGAGTAGCAGAGAAGGAGGAGAGAAGGCGTGGGTTTAACACAGCTGAGTCCTGTTTTCACCAATCACATCAACTTTAAATCTGCCACCGGCAAGGCGTATTACACTTGAAGTAATCAAAAAGATCAAGAGATGGCTGAAGACAGCAACACCATGGCGACAAAAAGTCGAGTGTCG